TCCCAGTGTATAGCTTATTTTGCTTAATGAGTTTAGCCTCCCCCCCTCAAATTTGGTGGCTTAAATCAGTCATTTAAGCTAAATGAATACACAAGCATTATATGGTGGAGCAGTGTAAAACGAAACAGACATCTAGGCTGACGTGATAACAAGCATGGTGATCAATATTGCAAAATGTCGCATTCAAATCATGGTTACTCATGCGTGAGCCAATTTCACGGGTTCTTCTCCCCTCTTCCACCACCGTCGGGTAGACCGTAGTCGTCAACCTCTCCCGCCAACCGTGCAAATTGCAGGTTGGGGTTAAACGAGTAAAATGAAAGCCTATATCCTATTTGCCCACGCAGTTTATAATTGAACAGCTGCGAAACGATTAAGATGATCCCTTGCGTTCAATCGAATTGTTGAATGGTCGCGGTCGCTACGACGAAGGTTGTTTCAACATGGATCGCGAATACCTGAACTCTAAACACAGACGCAATTTATTTTTGGTCTTGATCGGGAGGGGAGGAATGTAATTTTTTTCCTTATAAAAGGAGGAATTTTTTTACAGTCCTTTCAAGGCGTTCGAGTGCAGTTTCTTTTATCCTTTTTTTTTTTCTAATCTGCTTCCATATAAATTTGACAGTTGTGTCAGTTAACAGAACTTTCAATAGCTATTCATTTATCTAATACTGAAAGTTTTGCTGGACTTTCTGTTTCCAGATTTTCTATATTTGGAAAGTACAATATTATGATCTTTCCTCATTAAGATATAAATCCTTATTATTCTCTGTTATTATCCAAAAGCTCTGCTAAGCAAGCTTCCAGGAATGAAAACGCTTTTGATCGCCTTTAAGATTCGGGATAATCAGTTCTTTTTCTGAAGGGTCTCCTTAATTAGTTTTTAATCTAATGAGAAAAAGTAAAAGCTTTTAAATGTTGTACCAAATATCTCAAAACTTATTATTTCACTGACATAATTTGCTCAGTTTTATGTAGTGCTTGTTAGCAATAAACGTACTCACTAGTTAATATTTTGTGGTTAAATTCAAGTTTTATTTTAAATATAACTTTTTTCGGGAATACACATATACATATCTATTGTGAGTGCTAATTATTTTTGTAACAAGAACACGGTTTAAATATCTAAGACTGTATACTATATTAAATAACCATTTGTGATAAATATTACACGCGAATGAATCGAACACTTCCTCGATTAGTTCTGTAGTGTGCCAACATATATCAATCAAAGGTTGCGATAACATCTATAGTGATCTTCAGTTTTGATTAGGCAATGTGCAAAGAAACATTGCTGTTTTAATATCGAATGCTAGTATAGCAGCATTTTTGTAATTACATGTGTGTTGTTGTCTGAGATTACAATTGGATCAACATGAAATCATGCATTAAACTAGGAAAACTGGCCACAAAGGACACTGAAGATGCTTCGATAATGAGTCGTACTCTGTTTCTAACTGCACAATCCCTTCAAGAAGATGCTTCGATAATGAGTCGTACTCTGTTTCTAACTGCACAATCCCTTAAATCATTTTAGCTCCGAGGAGTACTGAAAGACGACATTTCTTGAAGACAAGAAGAATTTGCAAAATATATGGGCCAATCCTAATGGGTCAATCCCATCGTATGGAGCCAATGTCATCGTATTGTCGTATGGGCCAATCCTAATGTCCTTAACATGTGGCATGCGTATTGAATTTTTCACGATGAGACAGCACTATCACCGGAAACTGCTTGCTAGTGAGTTTTTCGCCATTCACAATATATATCGTTTCCGTGCCTGCTCTAATCGCTAGAATCAGCTTGTGCTGGCTTATTCCTTTTTCTTTTCAGCTAAAATATCTGCATTTTCCCACCTTTTCATTTCTTATTCCGCTTTTAAACGCAATTGATAATTTTCTAATTTCAATAAGTGAGTGCAACCGTAGCTTCATATAAATGAATGAGTTAGTAATTCCCACAAAAGCTTCACTGCATGTAAGCCCTGTAGCTAACGTAATGCTTATAAAATGAGTAGTTCTCCTTTCAGTTTATTCTAGCCTTTGGTACGTTTAAATATGGTTTCTGGATGGACGATTTCAGTCGACGGACACGAAAAGTAAGCGAAAGAATCAGAAACATATTAATGACCAAAAACTCGAGCCACTTTGGAAATGTATTGAACGGTGCAGTATGAAAGAAGATAATGAAGGGTTTTGTTAAAACTTTTGTTTACTGATTGCATTAATATTATGAGCTTTAAATGGTAATTTTCCTTTGTCGAACTCAGAATCCTATTAAACACTATTTTAGAAAAAAATCACTATTGTTCATTATACTATGTTGTCCTTATTTTAGTTCTTTCATTACATTATTTTCTTTCCTAATTTGAGTTAATAAAGCATATGTGGATGTCAGTGGATCTTATCTACAATTATTTAAAACCGCACGATACCGTAATTGATTTATTCAAACATCTAACGCACTGCATCATATCGAAGAAATTTAAAACTGTTTTTTTTTTCGGAGTAGTATTGATGTCCTTTAAACATAATCAGGAAAGTTAGTATACTAACACCTTACAGAATACAATATTGTGGTCTAAAAAGACAGCAGCAGCTTAGAATCCTAATTCTAATGATATTCTGATGGTGTGCGAAAAATGGAAAGACTAATATGCTTCGAAGATATTTATCACCCTTGCTGTTTAACAATTGCTGCAATTTCGGGAAGCGTTAATTTCTCTAATTTATCACCCTGATTGGCAAAATGCCAGATTTTAAAACTGTTGCCCTTTGGCAAAGATTTTTTATTGATCTTTCATCTAAAACTTATATGTTGCTTAACAGACTAAGCAGTTTATCATGGTGAAATTGGCAGTCTACTCGATGCGTATTCGGGAGGTTCTGAGTTCGAATCCCGACGAAGGCATAGCACACTTTTAACGTTCCTGCAATGATATAACCTGATGACTCTACAACATAAATGTTATTTTGTAGGGCTTAATGTTATTTAACCGATTATATGATCTGAACCTTTACTTCTCTAATGAAAATTTGTTGCTGAGTATTTAAGCCGAGGGTTTGAATGTTTTAGAACTGGAGCTTCTGGCAACCTTGCATTGCAGTTAAGTATTACCGCATCGCTTTACCAAAATGTATTCCGTCTTTAGCCATTTTGCTAGCCGACGTAAAATAACGCGCCTTTAATTATTTGACCCAGCTTAAGTAGACTATTTTCTTTGCAGTCTCAGACTACATTGCTTGAAGTCACCAGTTATCTTTCATTTTTACGTTATAAAAGCTCAAAATACGCTGCATAAATAAAACTGCGGAGGCGTAGCTTAGTGACGTCATAAATGGGTGGGAATAATCCTGTGAAACCACGGAGTAATCTCGCATCTTATACTATGTGTAATTAACTACTTTATACTTAAAATCGCAATAATCAGGTGTTTATTATTCTAAATTAATAATAAGCTCGCTATTATGTCAACGTTTTCCCGCCCAAATATTCCGAAATTCGATCAAAGACGCCTTAACGTATTAATATTCAAATAATCGAAGAGCTATTAAAAATATCTCTTTGTTCCATATTAACGTTTTACAGTTGACAAAATTTAGCGGTTTTCATCCTCACGGAACGGAAGCGCGGTGGAAGTTTACGCTTGACGTTAATTTAAAATTGGTGCCAGCAAGACTTATAAGCAGAAAACAGTCTCCACAAAAGATGTAAAGGCTATTATTTTCTATCATAATTTTAAGGGATATTTTTAGGTTAATTTAATATAGGATACTGCCACTTCGCTGTAATAAATTTAAAGGTTTTAACTAAAGGATTGCATTTTTTACCTTTAACATGTTTCAAGGTGATAAATGTATTGAGTGATGGTAAGACGTTAATGGAATGTTAAGCAACTAGTAGCTGTTGATCGAACTTGTTTTATGAGTAGAAACATATTAAAATTTTATTTCAGCCGAATGTCAGTTTGGTTTAAATTCGTCATTATTTTGCTATTTTTTGTCCAGTAATTTTTTAAATAAGATAATTGAGCTAATTAAGAATATTCATTAAGATGCAGTATTTTTTCGGTTAAACACAATAGCTTTTGCTTTGACTCTTATTCTAATACAAATAATTTAAGATATTATAAAATACAAATAATTTTAAAATATTGTTGCACAAAAAGACGTTGTTTCAAAAAAAAAAAAAAAAAAAAAAAAAAAAAAAAAAAACTCAGTTGCATAAAGAGAGTAATTTATATTTCATTTATTTCAGAATATATATTAAGCATTCAGATATATAAAATAAACATCGGCAATATTTTTTTGGAAGATTGCAGAGAAAATGTATTTGAAAGTTTATTGTTACCTAAGCTTGCAGGGCCGCAAATTCTAAAAATTGATGCCTAAAATGCAGGCCCTTTAAAAAAATTTATCCTACTCAATTAGTATGTTCATTTATAAAAGACGTTGTTAAAATTGGCTACTTTTCTGAAAATCTGCGAATAAATTTTTGAGTAATTATGCATATATAATTTAAATAATTTCGACTATTCGAAGTAACAACATCAGTAACATGACAGACTCGTAGGCTAATTCAAGATCAGTCCTAAAATTACATCTTAAGCTTGAGCAGGTAATAAATAAAATTTTGTCCATTTCCAGTTTACACGACCAATATTCTTCTTTCCTAATGAACGCAAAATTCAGTCTGAAGAAGAGAGCTCTATGGCAATCATCTTCGAAATTGGTTTTATTTATCGAGTTTTATTCAAAGTCTATATTAATCTGAACTACCTTTGTCCCTCCAAAAAAATTTACAATTTCTGTAATATTTAGTCATTCATTTGAAGCACTGTCAAAAAAATGATGAAAATGAGTTTCTATTTTGAAATTAACTTCTTTATTCGGACATTTATCTTAAATTCCTAAACTCTTCTTCAAAAGCTATATTGCATTTGAAACTGTCTTCAAATACACAACTGTAAATTTGATCTAAATATTCTTCTTTTTCAGTACTCAGAGAAGATTTTCGGTTAAGTCCGAAGCCTGTGCAAGCAGCAATGGGAGAAGCAGCGATACTGGAATGTGTTCCTCCAAAAGGCCATCCAGACCCTACAGTACGTTGGAGGAAAGATGGAGAGTATGTTAACACCAACAAGGGAAGATTCCGAATCATAGGTCCTGGAAATCTGGTCATCAATGATGTCCGTCAGTCAGATGAGGGGCACTACCGCTGCGTTGCAGAGAACATGGCTGGCTTCAGAGAATCAGCGCCTGCAGTTATGACTGTACATGGTAAGGAATTTGAGGGCTTAAAATAAGAAACAATGTACTTTGGACATCGCGAACATTTTAAAGAAATTAATCCAATGCAAAATCGCTTATTCCCACCAAATAACGAAGAGTATTTATTTCTTGTACGCATTTGAGCTTTTAATTTTTAAAATGATCTGATATCTAATTATGAAATTCAGTGTTGGGTGTTTCTCCTGGGCATAATATTTTCAATGCATCTAAAATAATTTTTATTCTTTTTGAATATTAATAGCAAGAATGCTATAATAATTGAAAGATTATTTTTATGGAGGATTAGATATCTTAAAGTTGTAGGAGTTCAAATTTATCGCTGTTAGCAATAATATCACATACAATTTTACAGGACAAGTTTAAAAAAAGTAAGATTTCAACTGAAAAAAACGCACAGCTGGCAACAGTTTGTCATTTCATATCCCTAACGTTGTTATGTAATCATTGGAATTGCAACATCATGCATTGCCGTTTCTTCAGATCATACACCGTTCCTTCCTAATCAAGCTCGCCATACAATCTTGTAATTGTAACGGAATACCAAATTCTATCTTTCATAGTTTTTGAATCTCTCACAACTTCTCAAATTTTCCATAATAAGTTAAAATTCACTCTTATTTCTCGAACAGAAACTTGTCCACGTCTGCTCTTTACACTGATGTCAACACGAGCTCACACACGCTTAACGATATATTCAAATATCCAGTCAAATTATCTTTAATAATTTCTCTGTTATTAAAATTTAGATGATTTAAACATTATTTTGAAACACTTAGTAATTCATAAAAAAACACAGAGTGAACAGTTACTAATTTAAGAATTGGTAGAAATTCCTCTTCGTAACTCTTAGAAGAACAGTGATGGTATGACGAAGAACAGTTATGACAGCAGAAAGATGTTGAATCAGTAGAAGATATATTCCCCACTTGTTCATCTCAAAAGACGTAGATTAACTAGTCTTCATATTTCTTGCAAAAATAAACTATTAATATGAGATTTAAAAAAGTCTGAAAGGCTTCAGATTTTAACCATCGCCCAGACTAACATGGGAACGTTATGTATTTAAAAAGTAAAAAAAAATACGTCATATAATTCTGTAAATATGTTTAATGATTTTAATTAGATGCATTATAAATTAAAAATCTTTCTATTTAAATCAATCAGAATAAAAAGTAAGAAAAAGTATTCTTAAGAACTGCATCTATTGCTCTTAAATAGTGTATATTTTAATTAATATCTGTGTCTGAAGGTAGTCCCTGAAGTTATTATTTTTACATCCTTATACGAAGTAGAGTCCTTATACGAAGTGTTGTAATAGCGAAAAATTTCGAGTACCATATTTCAAAGACGATAATCCTTTTGACCGTTCCTGAATCTATTTAGACAAATTTTTGCATAGTGTCTTTACGTCTGAAACAGGTTTTAAAATGGATTCAAAAGGCAATTTTTCTTCACGTCTATACCCCCGTAGGGACGTATGTATGCGTGTATCTATCTCTCATAACTCAAAAACGATTAGCCGAAGAATGTTAAAGTTTTTATATATGCGACTTCTACAACATCCAGTTATGCACCTCCCTTTTTTATTACAATCGGCAACACTGAACACACGCACGCACACACACACACATATATATTAACACCTTATCCGGCTTAAAATCCTTACCCGTCCTTTATTTTCGCTATCGTTGGTCGTAGTCATATACTTCCAGTTACAGCAGTATTTTAAATGACGAAAATATTCATTTTTTGGCAAAGTCAACTTTAAAAAAATTATTTTTAACAAATAACGAAACTGAACTGCATATATAGTAACATTTTACGTATGTAGTTAGTTTAGCAACGATTGTACGTACGGACGTACGCATGTATCTCTTATAACTCAAAACGGATTAGCTGTATAACGTGCATGTGTGTATTTGTATAAGTAAAACAAGTTACTTATTCGTAATACATTGCCTAATACTTGCGCTAAAGTTGCAAAGTAATAAAAATTTACTTCCTAGTATATTATTTAATATATCATCTCCTTTGAAAAAGTAGTTAGGATTCTTTGAAATGAATTTACTTATTAGCATATTTAAAATGGAGTTATTAAAAAGGTATCATTAAAAGTGAAAAATGCAACCAACAAACTAAGCAATTATTGACATTGATTGGAAATTAGTTAGCTTTTCAAAGGGAACAAACTACCTTCCCATCAACTAACAATAATTATTAAATGCGAAAGTGTTTCTTCTTTTTAAGAATCATGACAAAAAAAAAGCTTTTTAGTAACATTGAGTTATACACCTACCCTTTTACTTGGGGTAGTAATGCTAAAATTCCTTTACTTTCGCAATCGTTGGTCATGTACTTCCAATTACAGAAGTGTTTTAAATGACGAAAATTTTCATGTTTTGGCAATGTCAAATTAAAATATATATATATATATATATATATATATATATATATATATATCAAAGATATTTTCGACAAAAACAAAGGCTATTGCGATCTTCTGGTTCCTACACTTATATTTGGGAAAGTTTTTTACTCGTTATGAAAAAAAGAAAATTAGAAGTATGACTTCCGTACGACAAAAATTATACTTTATAAATAAATTAACCGTTATATTTAATTTGAAAATTTGCAATTTTTGATGTCATTTTCAGTTTTCCTTAAGAGATCGGTTAATTAAATTAGAATAATCCCAGGAAATAAGTTTAAATGGAGTGCAGCAATAAGTTGTGTATTAATCAATAAGCCATATCAGAAAGTCATGTGTTTCCCGCATCAGACTTTTTCTTTTAATGCTGCTGACGACAAGATTATAAATACAGTAGAACTCCAATTATTCGAATCAATTTGGACCGTATCCTATTCAGATAATTGGATTTCCCCCTCCCCCCGAAGAAAAGCTCTACGTACACTTTAATTAATTACTGCTATGTTGAAAATGGGAGAAAAATTATTTTTAAAGAAAACGATGTTTTAATCAATTAAAATGAAAAGACAACACTTTTGCGTACATGTTATATAGCATACAGTATTTACAAATGCTGAAAGTCATTGCTTGTTGAACATCTCGATCAAAGTAAGCTGTTTGACGGACACCGGGCCTGCACTTAAAATTTCTTAGCCAGCCGTTAGGATGAACAACCAAGATTCTCAGCAAAGATCTTACCTTTTTCACAAAGAATCGGACCAGAAATTGGCTTCCCATAGAACGTTGCTGCAAAAAACACTTGAAAACGACATCTTCTAAATTTTTGTTTGTTTGCTGTATTGACTTTCTTGAAGAACTTCCATTTTCATTTTCAAGCAGTGTCGCGAAGTCTAAAAGGGTAGGTCTGCTTATTTTAATATCTGAAATCGTTGATTGTTCAACACTAGATCCTTCTTAATTTTTTTCTTAAACTCTAAAAGCGATTCGGATAATTAGCGATTCAGATAGTCGAGTTCGGATAATTGGAGTTGTAATGTACGCGCATTTACATATATGTTAATATGTGTACACGTATGCAATAATAAGATAATTAATACTAAAATTATAAATTATACTTATAGCTCATGGATATGAATTCGAAAACTTCAATAATTAAAGATTTTTTTCATTCTATGTATTTTTGTTAGGTAATTAGTTTGTTCAACTAATAACTAGATAAAATAAATCTGATGCGAACACCACATGACTTCCTTATACGGTCTATTAAATATTCTTTTTGGAACGACAATAAATTGATATTGAATATTGTTAGATATTTACAACAACACTCGTAAACAGGTATTAAATAAAGTTAGGTATTCAGTTAATAATTAGTAAATAATATTAATAAATAATGTTAGACTAACTACGTAGATAAACTGTTATTATAGATGTAATAAGGGTTCGTTATTTATCGAAAATCAATTTTTTAAAATTTGAAATTGCTTAAAAATGAGTATTTCCGTTATTTAAAACACTTCTGTAATTGGAATTATATAACGATGACCAAAGATTGTGGAAATAAAGGCCGGATAAAGACTTTTAAGCTGCGTATAAGTATACGGTTGTTAATTCCGATTGCAATTAAAGAAGTAGGTACACAACTAGATGATATAGCAATTCCATAAGCAAAATTTTCAACGTCCTACGACTAACCGTTTTTGAGTTATGTGAGATAGATACATACGTACGATGTACAGCCATCACGAAAAAGTCTCTTTTGAATCCATTTACAAGCCGTTTTAGAAAAGAAAGATTCCTTTATTTTGTGAGTATGTGCAAAAGGCACGTAAAATAATCGTCCAAATAGATTCGGAAACAGTCAAAATTGATATTTCGATTGAAATATGATACCCGAAATTCTTCCCAATTGCATTACTTCCTTTGCTTCGTACAAGGAAGTAAAAGTATTAAATTCGATATTATAAATATTGAAAGTCCGCAGTTTTTGTGGACATTTTCTCATAATTTTTGTATTGTGCTTAATTCTAATCAAAACTAAAAACTCCATTTCTTAGGATCTTACGAACAAAATCCTATGCTATTTTTAAATATTTACCTTTTTCAAATTTATTTATTTCGTTAAGGTACATGTGCAGTTTTTGATCCATAAACTCAACAGTGTTTTAGAAGTTACTAAAAACGTAATGCAACATTTTTCTGATAGATTTTGGATTTATTAGGAAACTATTAATTAGAATTTTTAAATAAATCATTGTTTATTTCACAGCTGATGTTTACAAATGTTTAATGTTCCAAGCTCAGAGAGAAAGCCTTACCTTAACACATTGAACGTTACAAATTACTCTTCCTTTAACACAGTTGATTAATAACCTGACCTGTTAATTTAGTGAAACAATTCCTGAACTCGTAACACAAATTAGCCGAAATTCATTAAAATTCTGTTCCGTTAATTAAAAGCACTGAATAACAAACTGTTCTCTCAAGCAATCGTAGTCTTTTAATGAATTTGAAACGCTAGTTATATGCAAAGGATTAAATAATTAGTCTACCAATTAAATGTAATACATTAGAAAATTATTTTACTAATTAAATACCGCAGTTAAAAACTCTCGTTCATCGTAAATCATAAATAACGTTTTCTCTTCTAAAATTGAAAGCGACGCTTCTGCGATGATGACCCAATTTCCACATTACCGTAGCAAAGAGTTGCAGCGCCAATTTTCTAGCTGAGAAGGTTAGGATAATTATGTTTGCGTAATTTCAAAGGTGGTGCTTTAAAAAAGATAGTCTAACAATAAATGTGCTGATATTCAATACCGCAATATAAGTGAAATTTTCGTTTCTACATCTCCCATTTTTACAAACTGAAATCGTTCAGAAACTTTCCAAATTATTTGTTTTTAATCCGTAAATCCAGATTAATAGATATATTCTAATTATATATTCTAATATTTATTCCTGTCACCTTATGCTTTTTACGTTACTCAGAAAATATAACATGTTAAGTCTATATTGTAAATATTAATTTAATTTTATCATTAGCAACACGCATGCATACCTTATTCGTGAAATTTTTGTTGATATTTCGTTGATATTATTTAAAGTGAAATTTATCTTTTATGTTTTATGATGTATAGATGTTTTTTAACTAGGCTGCATTACTTATTACTGACTACATACCCGCATACAAAAAAGACAATTTTTGGCATGATTTTTTTTTAAAGTTTCATTCGTTAGCTTTCACCAGAACGCAGATTAGGTTTAATTTAAATAATCAACGGATCTGTAATTTCGGATAAGGTATAGTTTCAATAAACTCATGTTAAGTTTTACTTCTTTTCTATGTGACTAAAATTTTTTTAGACTTGTGTTCCAGTTGCAAAGTCGATAATTTTTCAGTGCAAAGGAAACAGATACAATTAGAATAACGAATTAAGTTTAATGTTACTAGCTTTATTTCTAAACGAAGTACTGCAAAAACAGTCTGCGCTCATATGCGTCTCTTAGTAGTCACATACTTCGCTTTCGAAATAAACTCTGAGTCAGGAGTCACAATTTGTAAGTAGCTTGTGGTGTGCATCAAGAGGCTACAAGTTTAAAAATTTCGCAATACGAGTTTGATTCACGCGGCATGCAGTATGTTGGTTGGCTCACTCACTTCGTTATATATTATTTACGACAAAATGCACAAGACTTACCTTCCTAAATTCAGTCTCCATTTCCATCTCACTCCCGGGGGGGTGTAGAATCCTAGTCTAGCTTAATTCTCTTCTCCCTACCACCAATCTTTTGAAAGGACTTTATTATCGATAAATTTTAAGTAACTCCATTGCAAAAAAAAAAAAAAAAAAAAAAAAAGTACATTCACAAAACACTAGCTTTGATTTGGATTTGGACTCGATTTTCAAACGTGTGGCAAGTAGTCTGCTGATTTAAGCCCTCATGTCCTCCTGAGTAGCTGCCTCCTCTGAAAAAAGGCCTGAGAAGGAGATTCCTAAGCAAAAATATGTAAGGCATACGAGGAAAACAAAATCTGATGTGGACACTACATGAATTCCTTGTATGGCCTATTAAATATTCTTTTTATAACAACAATAAACTGATATCGAACACTGTTAGAAATTTATTGTTAAATTAATTGCAGACATAAACTGTTATGATATAGATATGTAGCTAGATTTCGTTATCTGTGGAAAATTCTTTTTTTTTTTTAATTTGGCATTGCCAAAATATGAATATTTTCATCATTTAAAACACATCTGTAGTTGGATGTGCAGGACTATGACCGACGATTGCAAAAATAAAAGCCTTCTAAACAATTTAAGCCAACAAGCGGGTAGGTATATACAGGGTGTACCAGTACATCGGTGACAAACTTTCAGGAGAGATAGTGCACACCTAGACGATGGAAACTCACATAGCAGTGTGAGTCACATAGCAGTGTCAGAAACGGTTTCCTGTCGCGGTAGAAACGACACAAAACGCAAAACCGGAAGGACACGGACAGTGAGACAAAACAGGTTTTATTATGTTTAGTACAGCAGAAACCTACAAATAAGAACAAAACAAACAATGATCGTCATTAAAGAAGGTGTTCGAAATTACGTTCCCGAACCATGACGCAGGCCTCACTTCTCTGGCGCATGGAAGATCTGCATCACGAAGGAAAGATCGTATGTAAGATGCATGACGCACAGTTCCTGCATCACCGTCCGGGTCGTAATTTCGGACACTTTCTTTGATGATGATCGTTGTCTCTTTATGCTGTTTTTTCTTTGTTTTTGTTTTACTTCGAATAATAAACATGTTTTCTTACCCCGTTCGTGTCCTTTCTTTCGTGACTTTCGTGTCGTCACTATCGTCCCAGAAAAGCGTTTCCGACCATGCACTGCTATGAGATTTCCCATTGTCCAGGTGTACTCTATCTCTCCTAAAAGTTTGTCACCGCTGTACTGATACACCTTGTGTATACGTTTCGTACTGTCGGACTGAAATTAAAAATGTTTTGTGCGTGCACAATTAGATGTTATAGCAGTCTCATACTCAAAACTTTTAAGTTATACGGCTAATCGTTTTTTGAATTATGTAAGATTCATACATACATGCATATGTACGTACCAACATACGAAAGACGTCATGAAAAACAACTTTTGTATACGTTTCGAATGAAGGCGAACATTAAGATTTTTTATTGTAATTTTCTCTCATACTAATTTTTATTGCTTCCAGTGAAGCCATTTTTTGTGCGGGAACCAGAACATGTGACAGTCCTGGCTGATGAAGATGTGCAGTTCGAATGTAAAGTTGGAGGCGATCCTTTACCTACGATAACATGGCGAAGACAAGATGGAAAAATGCCTGTTGGAAGGTAAATTCATTTATCAGTTTCATAACCATAAGAATTATTTAATTTATTAAACGAAACTTTTCTCTTAAAAAACGCAACGCTCAATTAGAACATGTGTATTTATCTATCAGACCTTTATATACGTATAGTAAGAACTTATGTGTAATTACTTACCTGTTTGCTATCAAAAATATATAAATTATACATGAAAATACAAAGATTCTACCAAATGTTCTGCGAAAGAAAGCAAGTAAAGGAACAAACAATTCTTAACAAATCTAATCTCATTATTAAAGGTAAAGTTTAAAATTTAATATTTATTTCTAAAAAGCTTGGTTCTTGTTTTTAGATTGAAAGCATCTACCCCAGAAGTATTATATAAATCATGATTTGTTATAATCATTTCTAGAACTCATAGTTTTGAGAAAACAAATGAAGAAAAATTAGAAGAATATCTGCATAAAGACAAAATATTAGGTCAGAATTTTATTACGTCAAGAGATTGCAGATGTAGGGGCTTAGAAACAGCCAATAAAATTGTGCGAAGAAAAAAAATAAACATGAAAGTGAAAGAACAATTAGCAGTCACAGAGATGTTCTTTAGAACTGTAGAAAAGTAAAAACTGTTGACTGGAATTTTTTTTTTTTTTTTTGACTGGCACAGGTCAACAAACTGAGTTCATATTTAACAGTTTTGGACAGTTTTTATCGTAGTTTTATAAAATATTTAAACTTGAACTTAAAATGAGGAAAGAAAATTGAGAAAAGAGTAATGGGAAAAAGAACGTAACACATGTATTTCCTGCAAGAACAACTTGTTAACAACTTTAATGATTTTGAAAACTTTATTATCATATGAGTTAAATAATACCCAAAATATTGTAACTAATATGTTTTCTGTTCTCTTAGTAGTTCCGTTTTCTCATCATGCGGTCTATTTTGGATTATCCATCCTATTCAAGAATTAACTGGCTGCGGTTTATTTAGCATTTTGGTTAATCAAAGTCTTAAAATTAGAATATTTTATAATTTCTGAATAACATCTTGATGATAGAACTGAAAACGTTGTGTCTCAATGCACGCTTTAATACAATTATATATTAAATTTTCTTTAAATATTTTCTTGTAATAAATTTTACTTTTTTCAATTTTGAATATGGTTTAGTTAAAAAGAATTAGAAAGAAATTATATTTTTAGATGTACAGAGAAAGTAAATTTCTTTTCTGTTTCCAGTGTTTCGGTATTTATAAATTTTATTGAAACACAACAAATCAACGCTTTGTATTTAAATAAAAACCATTATTTCTTCAATTTTAGAGCTCAGATTCAGGAAGATAAAAGTTTGCTGATTAAAGATGTACTCTCATCGGATGAAGGAATGTACATCTGTGAAGCAGAAAATCCTGTAGGAATCATATCGGCTTCAGTAACTTTGACTGTTCATTGTGAGTGCACAAAAGTTCTTATTTATGTATTTCAATTTTGGATGATTAATTCATTAAATATATAATTTATAACTATATTTTCATTAAGTGTTACAAATTTTGCATTTTCTTTATGAAATGAATACACAGGAATCATGCCTTGTGCACAAATAATCCTATGAATTCGATTTTTAGAAACTGCTTTATTTATAGCTCGACCGGTTTTTCTCAAAACACCGCGCGATCAAAGGGTCGGTTTGAACGGCATTGCAAAATTTGAATGTTCTGCAACTGGAAATCCTCCCCCATCAGTGTTCTGGACTAAAGAAGGGAATCAGGTAAAGTTACCATTTCAGTTATGTTGCATTATTTGTTACTTCAGTTATACTGTTATTTTTTTCATTTTAACCTCCATAGTTCAATGACACATAGTTCAATTTTCTAGCTAATGTTTTCACTGCAAGGCCTCTCGGTTGATCAGATTTTAATTAGAAGTTACATTATCATTACCAGAAATTTTAACAAATGGTTTGAAATCAATAGTTTCGCCCATCCTCGCTTTTCACCATCTTTGCATATTAAAAAGCAGTTTTCATCATTGTAATCCACAGTTTTAAAACATTCGTCAGATTTACTACTTAAATACATATATACCACTTTCGGATGTTTATAGAAAGAACGAGAAAATAGGAATGATGTTTATTGACGTTTTCTTTATAAATATATTTGATGTATACCTACAACTGAGCTAGTTTTGAAATATCAGTTATTTTGTCCAACTGAATAAGTACATTTTGAGCTCTTTTTACGTTGTTCGAGTTCGTTGTTCATTTCAGAAATTCTAATGGCAACAATGTTGCTTGACAAAGATGTTTTCCGAATTCCATCTCTATATTTACTTTCTTGAAGTAATAGCAATGATATCATATGTTTTTCGTGGGTGAATGATTAAACAATTTTCGCTAACATTTTTACATTTCACAAAATATTGTTTTTCTTTATTTGAATATTTTAAGAATCTTTCGAAATATTCTTTTGTTTTACTAACGTACGATGGATGCTTGGATTCAAGAAGCCTTTTAATTTTGATGGTTTCACATTTTTCATTTTAGCCAAAACATTATTGTAAATTAAGCAAAGAGGTTGTTCATTACTATCACAGTTGCTGAAAGTAAAGCCAAATTAGATAAGCGTCTTATGTTATTTTCTTTTTCGCATCGCAAACGCCGCTTCTGATCACTGTGTCCTGCCTGAATAGACTTTATAAGATTGCCATTTGCGTCATTGCCTTTGCTATTCGAGGCCAACCATTTAATCAATGGAAAATAATATTTTTATCTTAAAATATAAATAAAATAACAAAACATATTCAAAAAAATGCCAAGCTTCATTGAATAAATTAGTAAAATTCAATGCTGTATTGTCTTGCGATGAGACAGATATAACTGACTATATTATGTAAACGTTATTATTACAATAATTACCTTATTCTCAGTACGCGTGTATGGGGCAGGCTGCACTTAAATTTCAGCACACCTGGGAGGCGCAGGCTGAATTCAGCTCTATTATCTAATTCTCAGCACACGTGTGGTGGCGCAGATTGTTTAAATACCGTGTGTTTGCTTCATATATTATTGGGCGACAGCACTATACTGATGCTTTTACTTGTATTTTTCAATATGTAAAATAGGTAATTTACAACCAAAATTGGTCAGTATTACGATATCAAGATACTGAAAGAATTGCGACTAACAATTAATTTAAATACATGAGCCTAAAATGAATTTTCATGACTTGCTTTGCTTTATCATCCCAGCTAAAGTCGCGACCCATAGTTTAGGAAGCGCTGCTTTAAAATAACTGCTATGATTTGTGGTACTCCAAGAAGAATAATCTATTTCAGCTCTTATTAGTTCTCCCCCTTTAATATAATATGTATTAATGTTGTAGAGTCATTAAGTCATTTTGAAGCTGGAGACGTGAAAATGCCAGGAATGCCCTTGCCAGGAATCGAACCTGGATCTCTCGAATTCGCGTCGAGTGTGCTACCATTGCGCCACGAAGTCATGCTGGAAGGAGGGAGAAAATACCTTATAATGTTAATAGCATGGCTGACATTTAGAGCTGATGAATGAAATATTTGAGCAAATTTACGTGAATAAGCTGTATACGTAAATTAGTTATCATTATTTAGTTCCATTTATGATAAAACCAATTTTATGTATCAAAATTAAAAATTTTAACGATGAGTTTTTAACGTGTTAACCAATAAAAAGCATTATCCAACTAAACACTTAAACTACAAAAGATTATATTTGCATCTTAATGTCACTTTCATACTCTACTTCTTAATGCTTATCTTTAGAGGATTTTGTGGAGTTATATTAATTATTATGGCATTGTAAGTCCATCCTACCTTCTTACAATCATTTCCTTACCTGAATTTTCTAAATGTGATATTTAATGCCCATAATAACAGTGATCACAAATTCGTAAGTAAATATGAACAAAAGATCTGTGATTAAAGGTTATCACAACATCTTCAGATAAGAACTGTGTCTAAAAATATTCTCATATTCTGTTATATATAAATACCCAAGAAGCAAATTGAGGGTGCCTTGTTAGTAGCTAATCCGTTAAAAAACTGCTAAAATATTCATTGTTTCAAGAACAAACATTTTGGAATTTAAGATTGTTTATACGAAATACAGAAAGACATAAGCAGTTAGGAAAATAATAGACGAAACGGAAGATCGGGATAAAGACAATCAAGAGTGAAAACGGATTATGACGAAATTGTCCCGAACTTATTTTTATTTTTATTTTTTTATCCAATGCCTATTCAGCATTGGTCACTTTTCTAAGGCTAAGTGGTAGCCATTTTTATTACATAGGCACTTAAGTAGGTGGTCACTGTTGCCTCATATGAAAGGAAGGACATGATTTTTTCGGGATTCGAACCCAGGTCTTTCGGTACCATAGAAGGCTCCCCAAACCACTATAATGTCTGGGCGGTAATTGTACCGAAGTATCATATTTCTAGAAAGCCTTGCCGCCTAGAATTGCACGAAGTTGACATTTACGGCCTAAATGCAAAATTTTAACTTTAACATCGTTTCTATTTGCTTACTTCCTGTATCTGAATTATTCGTAACATTTTAACAAAAACGAATATAATTTTTCTTCGGTTCTTTTCAGCAACAATATAATACAACATCAGTTTTTTAAACTTTTTCGTTATTATTTTTTCAGGTTTTGATGTTTCCCGAACGATCATACGGAAGGTTTTCTGTTACCCGGGAAGGCATGTTAATCATTTCTGGAGTCATGAAAGAGGACAAGGGATATTACATTTGCTCCGTTTTGTCTGGTATCGGGTCTACTATGGCTAAAGCATACCTTGAAGTAACAGGTATGACAAGTGCACTTAGTATATACTGAAATAACAGAGCATGCCATTGTCAGAAATTGCTGCTTCAGTCTGCAAAAAGAAAGAAGGCTTTAGTAACTGAAACTGTTTAAAACTATACATTAAATTAAATTACTAAATTATTTAAAGAATATGCATTTGTGGTATTTATTTTCTTAAACATTCACCCCTAGATTTCTAGCTACAGAGCTTATTAAAACAAAGTGCAGAATTTTATGAAAGCAGTCTCAGTATTGAGGTCGGCGGAACAGAATTTTAAAAATGAATCTAATATTTTATCTGTTCATTTCAGAGTAAAACTTAGAAAGAAAAACTGCATAAATTTCATTCAAAAGTCTTTAATATCATTCAGAACGAAACTAATTTAATATTTAATAATTTAAAATATATATACTATATTAATTATATTTAAAACGTACGAATAAATTTAAAACTTAAATTCGAATATATACTAATTATATTTAAAACCTGAAACGAATTTTAATTCGTTTCAGGTTTTAATTTCAGGTTTTAAATTCCATTAGCATTCGTAAATATACTTGTAGCTCCCACTGTTTTTGCGCTAAAATGCACAGAACATCGTGCTTTTGACTAGCAAAAGCAAATAAAAATTTTAATAAATTTTGGAATTTGTATTTTGTGCAGTTGATAAAATGTTAGATTTTATTTTTATGTAACTTTCAGAGAAATTTTTTTTAAAAAGGTTTCCATTTTATTTTTAGAAACTCTGTAGAGTCGTCAGGTCATTTATTTAGGAGGTATGGAAGAGAACTCACAAAAAATGAGCAGAAAGTTCATACTATGCTCTTTCCAGAAATTGAATCCCATACCTTAATGACTGCTAAGTGGATGTATTAATCACTGTAGCACAAGAGATAATTTTCATTTCATTCCCACATTTAAGGGGTGGGAAGGAAAAACGTAGTTTTCTAAATTAAGGTAGTGACGAGTTATCATCCCCTACATTTTAGCTCGAGAGCCAATATGACCTTTCAGCTTCTAATTGTACATGCTGATCACTACTCCTTATGGAAGAAATGCCTTTGAATTCTTTACAACTTAACAATCAAATACATATTTAGGGTTAATATGTTAAAGGAAATAAAGCTTTTTGGACCACCCTATGCACATTTTTGGTACGAAATTAAGGACGCACTTTTTATGTGTTACATGTATAATTTATAAGAATAAAATAAATGAGGAATAAATGTGCATTTTCTCGAATACCTTTTACACAAACTGCAGGGCAGATTTATTTTGCTAAATCAAAAACAAGTGTAACTCACAGTGAATGAAAAATACGTCTCTAAAACAATTGTAAATAAAATGTAAATAGGAGAACGTAAGCTGAAGTATTTTATCTGTTTGCTCATATAAATAAATACTTTTATGCAACAGCTGTTGGAGATTTGCCACCTCCTATCATCCTTCTTGGACCAGCCAATCAAACGTTGCCTCTGAATACAGAAGTCCAACTGCCATGCGAGGCTTCTGGTACTCCAACACCTACAGTTCGATGGTTAGTGAATTCTGGCTCGATACCTAATAATCACAGATTTAAAGTTCTCGACTCAGGAACGCTGAAAATAGATGGTATGTATGTTTATTTTTTCAAGATATATTTATACTCATCATTGCTATTCCTTGATATTTAACGTATTTCCTGAATAGTGTATGTAATAATAATTCTATTAAACGGAGAATAAATGCATCAGATATCTAACCGTAAAAATATATTTCTCCTTTTTGTGATATAGAGCAATATTCTGATATATCACGCGAAAGAAACGTATTCCAGAAAGTTACATACCCTATATTATAAAATTCAATTTGCTATAGCTTGAAAAAAGTACCTTGTGATTCAGTATATAAAACTATTCAGAATTCTAAGTTTCAAAGTTGTAATCCGAAAGGAACCCAGAAGACATGTTAAAGACATACGTATTTTTAATGACGCAGATACACATACACTTACATAAATCCTTGCACATGACTGTAGAACTCTCAGTATACGAATCTAAAGAAAATTATCATATATCAAACATAATTCTTTAAATCAAACATCGAACATTGCTTTGCGCGGCATCACATACACAGTTCAAATCAAAACTTCCAAGTTTCACTGTTGTTGTCAAATTAGGAATCGAAACACCAAAAGGAATTATGAGTGTCGCAGCAGTACGTCGTCTTGTGCGAAAAAGTATCTGCACACCCTAACAGAGATATATCTCGAAATCCTGAAATATTCTTTTGCATTTTTAAAAATGCATGTTCATTTGCTGATGAAATTTAATTTAATAATTCCAAATGATGCATTCGTTACAAATTATATTTTAATAGATCGATAAAAGAAAAGTAAACATTTAATGTACTGCATTTTCATTTTTAATTTAATTTTAATCCTTTTTAATTTAACTTTTTAATTAGGCTAGATATTATATTTTTACCGAGAGGCATTAACGTTTGAATATAAAAAAATATTAAATGTATTTAAGCGAAGTAAATTTGTCAGTAATAAAAGGTATTTTATTTGGTAGATCTTTTAGTTTTTATATCATTATTTGCTTCAAAATATTCTCTGTTAAAAATTAGCTTTAAAGTGTGTATAAAAAGTGTTTGTTTTAAAATACTAATAGAAGAACATAACAAATGCTACATCATAAAAAAAGTGCCAGTAAAGTCCTTCGTAGGTAAAATTATTTCATCTATAATATATTTAGAATATTTAGATACCTTGCATGTTCTAAATAAAAGTATACCATAGTGGTCCGAAAAGCATGCTAATTTGATCTGGATTAATTCCTCTAAGAGCACTGTTTTTTCTAATAATGTTACATATGCCATAAAAATATGTTATATGCACGTTAGTGTTACATGTACACTGATAAAAGCAGAATTATTCTGAAATTTGATCTGAATATGCTTTTATTCGAGGCATTCTGTATATAACAATTATTTTGTCTTTTCCGTAAAGTACGATAACATAGTTATTACTGTTTAGGAAAGCAGAGTTGCTGCTTTTTTATCAGTAGAAGTATGACATGCAACTAAAGAGTAGCAACTAAAGAGAGCAACTTATGAAAGAATGTATTAAACCTGATTTATTGTGCAATACAAAGTATGCGCGAGAGATCATACTATATAATGTGTAAGATATAAAATATGAATACAAGAAAATTATTAATAAATTACTAACTTAATTAACCTTTTCATTTCTGTTTTTAATTTGACTACATCTCTGTCTTGGAATCTGTACTGTTTCACTTACGTGATTAATTTCATTTGCAATGATCTGCAATGTAAAAGCTCCTGTCCAATCGCTGTTCAAAATTCAATCAAAGAATTCCGATCTTATTTATGGCTTTGATGAAGTGTGCATTACTTTCTTCTACTCTTCTTTCTCCGCTAACTTGTATCTCGTTACTTCGCTGTTCCAAAATTCTGTTATATTAAAAATGTCCTAAATATTATTCTGGAGATGACTGTTTCAATTACTATTCAGAGAAATAAAGACAGGACAATTTCATTAGATACATATTACCTTTTAAAAAGAACCATATTATTTATCAGAAACAAGCAAAGAGATTTCAAATTTCCTAAACACTTCTACAAATTATTTTCATACAATTCTCAGAATTTCATTTCATTGTCTTAATGAGAGGAATTTAATTTTCTGCACTGAAAATGATTGATCGTATCGGTGATTTTTAATAGCACAGAAAATGAATTCATTGTTATTTCATCACTAACGAATTATTCATTCGGGGTGAGATTTAGTTTCTATGGTTTTATATGAAAATAAGATTCAATAATTCTTTTTTCGAGATTATTTTTAATTCAATGTGCTCTAAGTGCACTTTTTTCTTTTGCTTTATTCAAAGAAATATCATTATTGTTACTATGTTTAGATTATTTTCTTAATCTTAAACTGAGTTGTAACTTTCAGCCCTACAGCACACAGATTCAGGAATATATACATGCACAGCATCAAGTGAAAGTGGTGAAACTTCCTGGAGTGCATCTTTATCGGTAGAATGTAAGTAAAAAATTGTGGCATAATCAAATGCATTATTAAAAACTCATGCAATCAAAGCTTATACATCTGCATTAGGGACATCGGTTATTATAGTTATTAACTTATTTAAAGTTTTCTTACAATAATATTTTATTTTATAAATGGTATCAAGAAATATGAATGCGGACTGTGTTGAAAATAGATTATTTTAATATATAAATAACAGTAATAGAATTACTAATTTGTTAATTACTAACTTCAAATAGAGTTATTGAAATTACAGGTTTTTAGTGATGGAGAAGAGACTAAAATTATACATGCAGTTTCGAATTTAGATGAATATCGTTATACTTTTTTTATTTGAAATGGCTTGAGAATAATTCGATCTGAAAAGGGTCTACTTGAAATAATTTGAGGGGTACTATATTATATTTACCTACCAAAAATACTATATTATATTTACCTACTGCACTCTGGTGTATTCAATATAATAATTTATATTTACCTACTGCACTCTGGTGTATTCAATATAGTAATTACAAGCAGTGATGAAGGCTCATTGTGTATTATATAAAATTTTGAAATACATCTTGTGCTAAAGGCCTTCCGTAGGTAATTTCAAACAATTAAGCGCGTCTAGACGATCATACTTATTTGTAAAATATTTTACGATGCAATAACACTTCATATTTTGCTATGGAAATTAATCTGAGAAAAGTTTAAACAAGGAACATCAAAAAATATAAGGAAAAGATCATATTTGCAATTATTAATTACAAGGGAAGTCAATTTTTTTCAGACTTCTTCAAGTCAAAATTTTTACTAAATGGAATTAAAAATCATGCGTAGAAATCAATATCAATGCTAATTTTCTTTCTAAATCAAATTCTCAAATTTATTTTCTGCTTCCTTCAGTTTCATCTTATCGAAAATCAAATGTGGTGCATTCCTTTTCTCTAAGGTGTTGTAGGGAGGAGAAACATTCGACCAGATTTTCTAAAACTATGGTATATATACCACTTCTTATGATTTACACCATTATTTTTGGTGGTAAAAGTTTTACAGATATTATTTAATTGAATGTAAAATCATGCCCGTTTTGATATACAATACTGGTACATGATGTTACACATATTTTTTATTCTTATTCATGAGGTACAAAATTAAAAAATTTTAGATTCTTTATTTAGACCTTTTTTATTATTCCTGTAGCAGGATTGAAAAACTTAATTTATATTAGCAGAGGAATACTTCGTTATATTGGTTAATTAATAGTTGCACCCACAAAATAATTATATATTAATTACTTATTATGTATATTAATTACTTAGTTACATTTTAACAATTAAATGCTAATTATTATTTGTCAATGAAATGCATGCATTGGGACAAAAGAGCAGTAAAATAAAGTAACCATTATTTCGGTGTAAGATTACTATAGTACTGATTATTAATTCGAAAAATCAATTCCATATAGAATATTAAAAATTTGTTCCTCCAGAGCTCTTTTAGAAAAAGCTTTGTATTAAAAAAGGCCCTACAGTACTTTAGTTTCGCATTATATAAAGACATCATATATAAGCTTTTGCTATATGAGCGGGCTTTTTGGCATAAAATCACAGAATTTAATTGAGTCTTTGTTTTCGAAGTGCCAGAAAATAATTTTTAATCCTTCTGATTTGGAATATTTAATTTGCTTTGTGATAGGAAGCATAAATTATTCTTTTCAACTCCTCTGAAATTACATTTATGAATATGTTCGATATTATGCCGGTTATCATCCAGTCGTTGCTTCTGTATAGATGATCTTCTAACATTGCTTTCAGTTGTTTGAAATATATTGTTACGAATTTTGTACATAGGTAAAAAATGCTAGTGAAGTTATATGAAATTGTTGTACTTTTCTGTATATGCAACATGAAAAGCTGACAGAGTTAATGCTCATTGAGTAAATGGCTATCTCGCTAATTCTGAGGAAATTATAGAAGACCGACGAGAGTATCAGTTCCTCAGTTGTTGTTGGTGTGAGTTGTTAGTTCAGAGCGATTTCGGAGTACTGAGAGCTTCGTCTTTTAGATTTGCTTTGCATTGCGTTGTGTTGAACGTCCTTAGTAGCTTGAAGTGTAACTACTGATTGTACTCTGTGATACAAAGAACACCTGTACGAGTATTTCTGTGAAAAGTTCCAGAACTTTGAAGTGTTTCTTTTGATAGAATGACATCGGACCTGTGCATTCAATCTATTATGAACCGGTACGTACACAAAAAATATTTTCTATTAATATTAACTGCTTGTATATTCTAATAGTAAATCAATCATGTCAGATCAGATCAATGTTATTATCTTTATTAGTTTTATATAATAATTTTAATTTGATTCCATTCTATTAGCTTATTTTATTTTGCACTTTTTATTCAGTATGATGCTTTTGAATTGAAATTGGTTTTATATTTGGAAAAACTCTCGACAAAATTCGGTAGAACTTTTACTAAGAGCCTTTGTCTTATCTAAGTGACTGACTGCGGGATCTTTTTTTCTGCTTGGCTGGAAAACTCTAGAATTTTCATTTGGGTTTGGCTCCCGTTTCAAGCTTTACTGTTCATGATTTATTACATATACAAGGTGGTCGTAAAAAAACATGTCTGATATATGAACTCCTCGCTGCATATCAATCAATCGAAATAAAATTTTAGGTATAGTTATTTGAAGGTATTCGCTCGAGATTATGATGATTTAAAACAATAGAGCTTTCACGGTTATGGTTACAGTGAAAAGATTTCGTAAGGCAACACCCATTTTTTTTCCTTCCCAAATTCATCAGCACATCGAAAAAGCACCAATGGCCTTAGAACCATACACGTATGAAGAAAATTACATGTTTAAAACATTTGCAAACAAGAGCATCTTAAAGGATCGTTGACAACACAAACACAGGAGAAGGAAAACCTTTGATTTGAATTACAAATTTTCAGCGTGTACAAAGTTTCAAGACAAAGACATAACTTTGAAACTTTGTAGCCACCGCGGTCCTCTGACCGCCCTACATGGATTTCTGATTCTGGGGTTACCTAAAATCTAAGGTGTAGACATCAAATCCGCAAGATTTATCAAAACTGAGAAACGCGAAGTTATACAGATTCCGTAAAATGCGAAGTTAAACAGACCTTCTAATATGTTAGTTCGTCACTGTTGTCAACTACGAGTATCTTCCGCATGTAATGCGTTATCGTCTGCTAAGATGTGGGCACGTTGAAAACTTGTAATTCCAATAAAAGTTTTTTCTCTTTGTTTTGTCACTACACCTTTACAATGTTCTTCTTTGCAAATGTTTTACTCCGGCAATTTTCGACATACGTGTATCATTTCAACGCCATGCGTGGTTCTTCAAAGCACTGATCAGTTTCCTCAGGGAAACATTGCCATTCAAAAATTTCGAAACTTTTTCACTGTAATCGTAACCGTGAAAGCTGTATTATTTTAAATAGTCATAATCTCGAGCATATACATTCAAAAATTTCGAAACTTTTTCACTGTAATCGTAACCGTGAAAGCTGTATTATTTTAAATAGTTATAATCTAGAGCATATACATTCAATTAAAATTTCATTTCGATTGCTTGAGCGGATAGGCCGCTAGAAGTTCATATATCGTGGGAGTTTTTTTATGATCACCCTATAATTTCATTCTTTATTATATATATATATATCCTGATGCTCCAAGATTCATTAAAGAATAAAAGTTAATCACATATTATTGTATTTTAATTTGGTGCTCTTTTATTCAAACCATTATTTAAGTTCTTGACACAATAAATTTAAATACTTAAGATGTCAAGGGATTTTCCCTGCACTTAATTCTGATTCCGTTTAATCATTAACTCCCAAGAAGCTATAGAATTAAAGCCTGTATATGCTATATTCGATTTTCAACATGGAGGAACTAAATGAATATATCTTCTGCAGTGTCTTGCATGTATCACATGAAATAGAGACAACTGTGTTTATGAAGTTCTCTCTGTGGGAATTAATGCTACGTAGTTCTTGATATTTAGCATGATTTATTAATCTAAGTTTTAAATTTCTCTCATTTAAAATTCACATTACTTTACACACTTCTTGCAGATAGTATTTCCCTTTGAATGTATTATCAGATAGTTGTAGAGAGCTTCAGCAACCCAAGATAAGAATAAGAAATGAATTAAATCAAACTCATATTAAGAAAGGAATAGAAGATAAAAAACGCCAAAACTCTTTGAGCTAAAAAAAGGGAGGGGGAAGGAAAAAAAGAAAAAGCGACTTGAAAAATAAACAACAAAAAAATCATGTCATCGATTTACTTTTTTTGGGGGCGGGTGTTCATTTATTTCATTTATTTATTTTTTGTATTTGTTGCAGAACGTTATCAAACTCTTTCCTTTTTTAATGGGATTTTCTGCGTCCATCAATAACTTTTATAAAAGAAATTCCTTATAATGCCTAAAAGCAATAATAAAATATTGGACTTATATGTCAGTAATAACGTTATCATTTGATTTATAACCTATTGTCGAAAATGTTAGCAAATTTGTATGGCTTAGAAATTGGAAATTAATTTAAGGTATGAAATCCTTTCTAGCCCCGAGGAATCCAAATGTGATATTTCATCGAGCGCCAGACCCTTCCACTTTCCCCAAGCCTCCTGGCCAACCGACAGCAACTAATGTAACAGAAACGTCAGTGACTCTCCATTGGCAAAGAAGTAGCAATTTAGGTGCTTCGCCACTCATTGGATACCGAGGTAAGACTTGATTGTAAAAATGACTACAGTTACATATCTATGCACATGCAGCTGCCGATTTAAAGAACGCATTTCGTGGCAAGTTAAGGAATACATTCCTGCATTCCAGGTGTAAATTTAATTACTTTTGTAACATAAAATGACATTTGGCTATCCAGCATCGAACCATTTACTAATAATCCTGGGAGACGGAAGTCTGATTTATTCATTTCTAAATAATAATGCTAAATTCAGAACGTCTCTAAAGAGATTTTACAGTGTTTTTGGAGTTATGTTACGTTATCTTAAGCTACATGCATTTATCGCCCATGCATCTTTCATAAAATACTGCAGTTTAATACACCGATGGCTATCAAACCGTAAATTTCCAGTAACCAGATCGCTTGATGTTTATTGGCGTTTTGCTTGCGTTATGCATTTGTCATTCATATAACTAACCTTGCTTGTGCACGAAATATTGCACGGCTCCGTATAGGTAACTGTCAACTCAAAAATCACAGATTATCAGTCACTTTAACAGTCATTGTTATTTTTTAGTTTAATATTACCGTAAAAATTTCATTGGTACGATTTTAAACGTCGTCAATTATTACCATATTAAACAAGTAATTTTAATGTACATTTTCAGCATTATTTTAATTGACAAAAAGCCCTACTTTCAATATAACCAACATTTTAAGTAAAATATTTTTTAAATTGAAATGCAGAAGGGTTTGCAATAAAACAAGCAGTAGACAAAGGGTTCTAATGAATTAAATAAATACTGTGTTTCGTTTGATATTCAAACCAAAAGCAAGGCGGCAATAAAATTCGTTAAAACACTCTGCTTCCTCTTCTGTTACTGATGTTACGGCTGTTACTATGCAACATGTGAACTCATAGCGTTGTTGGCTACGCTGATACGTACACTGTTGTATGTTGTGAAAAATCCCCAGTAGAGATCAAAAATCGCTTTCTTTCTATTATGAAGTAAATGTGAAAAGGGAATAGCACAGTGATTTAAAATCCTTTAAAAACCTTTGCCTTCTCTTCTGTTACTGATATTACAGCTATTACTACGCGATATGTGAACTCATAATAGCTCTGTGGTTAATGCCTAATTTATTAATTAAAATTGAAAGATTAATATATTAAATTTTCCCGAATGGGAACACTTTCGCGTGCTGAAGATAAAAATGTTTTATTTCGAAGAGTGTTACAACTGCTTGCTTTGAAATCGTTGAATTTTTCAATCAGTAATTCGTTAAGTTTTACAAAATATGAAATAGACAGTAAAACAAATTCCGGCTTTCAGGTGCCCATGTTCGGGTGGAGGACTACGTTATTCAAAATTTGATGGCTGTAGTTACCGTCTTCACAATGCTAGGAAGATGCATACTTACATGCAAATTCTTCAATTTTTTAATTTCTTTAAAAATAATATAGGGCAATAATATTCGGCGGTAAAAATTTAAAAAGTGATATGCCGTGTATAGTGAACCGATGCAAAATCCTATTTCGAGACTAATAGCCACTCTTGGGCTGATAAGGTGTTTTTATTTTGATAAATAATTAGTTTTAGTGATAAATGAATTTAGTAAATTACATTTCTAAGCTCTAACAAATGCGTATTTTAAATATGTGTGTATTGCAAGTAACCATGGCGATCGAGTAAAGATTAAACATGTGTTTGAAATTAAACAGCTTATTAATGAAAAGCAGTTTCTTAGATATGTATTTTTTGTATTTAAGTGGAATACTACAGCAGTGACTTGCAGAGTGGTTGGGTTGTGACAGCTCATCACGTTGCAACAGAGTCTCACGTTGTGCACAACTTGCGTCCCGACACGCATTATCAGTTTCTTGTCAGGGCAGAGAATTCTCATGGACTCAGTCTTCCTAGTCCGAGCAGCAAAGTTATCAAAACTCATGGTATGTATAACGCTTATTTATTTTTGTATTAAAGTACTAAAAATTTCTTACTTGCGGATGCAAATGAGACGGAAGAAAAGTGATTATTTTTCAGTATTAAGGGCCGAAATGTTAAAGCTGAAAATGAAAGATTTTCTAGCTTGGAAAATGAATTTTAGTCTTAAGAAAAATAGATAAATAAATAAATAAAGTTTGATATAGTAATTTTATTGATCCCTTAAAGGTAAAATAAATTAAAAAGATCCGTTTTACTCTGGAATGCTAGAAATTTTTCGGTATGACTAAATTATTACTTTAAAATAGTTTTTATTAATTTTAAATCTAACTTGAATATTTAATCAGCCTCGTATAGGAAAAAAGGCAAAGAATTTTTATTAATTCCTTGTACGAAGTAAAAGAAGTATTATAATCGCGAAAAGTTTCGGAATCATATTTCAACAGAAATATCCATTGTTGCCGTTCACGATTTTTTTTTCATAACCTGTATACATAACGACAGAATAAAGGACTATTTTTTCATAATGGACTCGAACCCTACATCTCTTGAATACGCTCAAGTATACTTCCAATTACGCCACGAAGGCAAGAGGAAAGAAAGGAGAAAATACCTTGTAATATATACCTACAACCTGGTAAAGAGTTGGTTATATGGTATATGGATAACCAACTCTTTACCCGGCTTAAAAATCTTTATCTGGCCTTTTTTTTTTTTTTTTTTTTTTTTCAGTTTGGTATTCCTATTTAATTTTTGGCAAATAGCAAAATCTACTTTTTAATATGGTTTCCCTGTTTCTATGCTTATATTTGGGAAAAATGTTATACTCGTTATGAAAAAGTAAAATTAAAAGAAGTTTAACTCACTCGCGAGAAAAATTGGCCGAGTTATTTAATTTCAAAATTTTCAATTTTTGATGTCGTTTTCAACCTGCGTTGAGAGATCGTTTAATTAAGTTAGAATAATTTGAGAAAATAAGTTTAAATGAAGTACAGCAAAAAATGTGTACAATTTAATAGGCCGTACAGTGAAGTCATGCGGTGTCCACATCAGACTTTTGTTTTAACTTTATTCTCGCATTCACTTGTATGTAAACTACACAGAAAAATGAAGCTTAATAAAGAGCATACCTGTTTAAGCTTAGTTTGTTCTGTTCTCCAAAATTCACCTGCTTCTTAACTCATTGGCAAAGTATTCTAAATTCCTACAAAAATCAATTTAGAAATCCGACATTGTAATTCCGTTCCATTGATTTTTCTTTACTTCAAAACTCCTCGAGCATCGAAAATCGATTGACTTATTTCATTTCTTTGTCTTACAAGGTTTACCTCCCCACTTGCTTCCTGATTACGATTTGGAAGAAGCACGTATGCAGCTCAACAATATAGCTGTCGAATTACAAGATATAAGGCCTATTAGCTCTACGGCAGTGAAATTGTTTTGGAAGGTAAGATCAAAAATATCTTTATTTGCTTGTTCGTTGATTTTTAGTTGGATGAATAAGTATGCATGGCTTTGAAAATATATGTATATTAATAAGGGAAAAGCTTATGATGCATATATCTGCCTAAAATTATTCGTATATTTTCACATCCATGCTGCCTGGGATATGGCATTGATTCGGTTGGAGTTCATTTAATATATTCTACGATAGTAAATCGTTTGCATTTTCAGCCTTTTTAAGGAGATATTGTAATACATTTTGTATTTTTATAATTATTTGCAGTTTTATATTAATTTAAAATTATGCAGTAAATTTCCAGTGCTACTTTAAAACTAACGTTACTTCAGCTTTAAATTAAGAACGTCAATTTTACTTAGAAATTTCTTTTAAAAATTACGCATTTGCAATATTGAAAATCTGTTTGTGAAATCAGTCCCACAAGGTGGTTAACAGGCTTCTTATATAGTCTTTTAAGTTCAAATCTTGGTTAAAATAAGAAGGATTTGAACCATTTGAATGTGTATGTATATGTATAATTCACGTTTTATTTTGGGGGGATTATTTTGGGATAGCACAGTAACAAACCGTACTGTTTGAGAGCTTTCGAGACTTAGTTACAAATTACAACAAGTAAAAATTTCAGAGTTAATAAGAACCCCATGTATGCATCTTTCGCGAGTGCCCAAAATTGCAGAAAAAACTTCAGAAACCGAAATCTAACAGTACTTTATCAACGGAAACAAGCCCAACCAGTCACGAGAGACAACAAAGGTATAATCCCCACATGCCAGATAAACAGATGTTACCATTAAAATCCTCCAACTCATCCAACGAAATACAGGAAGCAGCAACCTCTCTGCAACAAGGACCCATACAGGAATGTATGGTATATTTTCCCTATTAAAGGATATCAGATTGGTTAAAAACCTTCATAGATAAACTAGTTATGGGGTTTAAAGCAGTTGAAATTTTAATGATATATATATATGTTCTGAAATAGATTAGATGTGCAGGACTTTAACTAACTCGACAGCCTATGGCATCGTTCAACACTTTTGTTGTCAGTTATTGATCAACCTTAACGCTTTAGGGAAAGAATTTAAAACACGTGAGTAAATGCTTCAACTAGTAAATGCCCAGTAAACCTAGAGGTTTGAAATTCCAATCTCCAATAATTAAACTTGAAAGAAATTTTTATTCCTTTAAAATTAATGGAGATTTCAAATCACTATTGAAATTTAATGCACTGTAAAGTAAAAAAAAATTTTTTTAAAAAGCGTATTAAATATTAACTTAAGAGCATTTTGTTTGAGACATAGTTTGACACTTAATGTTTTTCTTAATGCATTTTAGCTACAGTTAGTTTCAACGTTATACTTTAGCTGAAATAAAATTCTCAGAATAATGAGAAAATTGGGATATTTATTTATTTATTTGGCTTTAAATGTATCTTTTGCCATAAGAGTAAACTCTTGACATATTAAAAGAAATTTTTAGATTTGAATCTTTAAATGCAACATAAATTTTTATATTATATTTCAAGACTGAAATCTCAAAAAGGCTTTAAACTTGACGCTCAGTCGGATTCTTTTAGGAACATAGTAACTTTCCTTCCTGCTAAGAAACTACTCAGAGGTTTTTTTTTTTTTTTTTTTTTTTTCTCTAGATCTGCTTCATTACGCCCAGAGAAAGAAGAAAACCGATAATCTTCTCCTTTCTATCAATAATGATGGAGGTTAAAATGATGTTTGTCACGGAAATGTCACTGATGACCGGTTGAAGTGACTGTTAGGCAGATAGCCCTGATGTTTACCAGTCAATCATAAGAAGAAAAAAAACTCTACAAACGCAGAAACTAATAAAAGATGGTGTTATTTTTTTTCTGCTACTAGATTTGAACTTTAGGAGTATTATATGCAAACCATTTTATATGCAAACCAGAAAAAATGAGATGACATTTCAGATTTTCTTGGATGTCGTTATTTTTCAAGAAGAAAAAAATATCTCTCAGCGATTTCACAAAAGATCAGTATGAATTTGCAAATTTTTTGACAGAAAAATAACAATATTATATTAAAAAATGTATATATAACCTTCTGTATCGTATCAAAGCTGATTATATCATCATGTTTCCTCCTCTTCCGCCCTTACCTATCTGGAATTATATTCTTTGAAAACATCACAAATCTTGGTGGAGTGGTTGGTTTCCCCTACCATCTCTGTTACCTGGGCAGCATGGACGCTAACCCTTGAGTGTGACAGGTGTTTCCGAACTGCGCTCTCACGTATTGCCAGCGGTCATATTATGAGCCTCTCTTTCAAAGAGAATATGAAAATCTTTGTCACATAGCACCAAGTGCCAAGTATATCAGGCGTCTGCCGAGCACATATTAAGCTGCTTGGGTCTCTCTAGAGAGGCTGTTTACTCCAATACCCTCCTTGTGTTCGACTTTCTTAGAGTCAACGGTCTTTTGGACCTTGTTTGACTTCGTCAGAAACCAGAGGAAAATCAACAACAACATATTATCATGTTAAAATGTTTTATCCCGTTGAAGCTAAGTCCATACATATAATTTGATAAAGGATTTTCAGAACTAACTCTGAATGACCATTCAATGAAAATCAGATCAATAAGAAATACTATATGAATGAAACTGATCAATGAAAATTAGTTCTGAAAATTAGGTATGAAAAATAAAATCTAGAACTGCATTAGCAACATTACAGAAATGAGAAAAATCAAAAAATTAGTTCAAGAAGATTTTTTCATAATGTATGTCACGAATTTAAGTTGGTTGAGACACTGGTACACATGACACTTTTAGATTTATAATATGTAAGGTTTTGTTAAGACCATCTTTATGAAATACAAATAACTTGACAGTGTTTAATTTAATGATAAATTGCGCAAAACTTTAAAATAACAAAGCCTAGAATATTGAGAAATATGTTGCAAGAATTTGAATATCGAATGAAATATGAACTTTCTTCAAAAAAGAATATACTTTGAAGTATTTTCTATACAGTAAACTGAATGTGTTACTTATGCAATTTACTTTAATTGCTAAAGTAATTCCTCATAACCCTGCATCATAACTGCATGAAAATGATAATGTATTTCGAACTATAAGATAGCTATTGTTTTAAGAATTAAACTAATTTATTTTTAAATTTTGACAACGAATGTAATCTATTATGAATAACGTTAAAATTTAATTTAAATCAATAAAGTACATGAATGGAAGAAATTCAGTAATTGAAACATTAGAAAGTGTTTTTGGAACTGATTTAGGTATAAGTCGATTAAAAAAAGGCTCCAGTTTTTAAAGTTTTTAAAAAAAAATTCAGTTACCAAATTCCTTAACTGTCGTCATAATATTAAAACTTCGTTCACATTTATTCGAATTTATTAAGGATACTAAATTATATATTGCTTTTGGAACTAAAAGTAACAATTGATTTGTAATCAGACTGAGACAAAACTTTTTAATCATAGTTGTTCCTTCTTAAAAATGTTCTTTAGGAAAAAAGAAGCTCAAAACTGAAGAATGACACAATAATATTTGAGGGCAATTTGGAATTACTGTATTTAGTCGGGTATCCCCCCAGTACATTTCCTTAGCTTGGTAGTTACCAGGAGTTTATTTATAATTGATTTTAATTTGTTATTTTCTTAATGTACATATAAAATGAAAAGCATTTATGAACAAACTACTGGTAAATGTCAAGCTGAGGGAAGATACTAAGGGAAAATACACGAAAACTGACAGTAGTTACTTTAAATTATATTACCGTAATTTTCTGAGTAAAGATTTCCACAAGCATATTGCCAGGGCCGGCTCGACAGATTTTCGAGTTCGGTGCAATAACACGTTTCGCCGCTTCCTTGCCCTCAGTTGAGAATATTATGCGTTTAATTATATGTTTGCTCCATCACTTGCCTCTCTTTGCAAGTAGTGACATCTATTGCACTTCCGGTAATGCCCAGAACCGATTTAGATTTGACGAGAAGCTGTTTGAGATATGGGGGGGGGGCCTTTTATGGGGCATTTAAGTCAATTTTGTTTACAGGGCCCTAAGCTATATCTTGTGCAGCTTAAATCCGGCACTGGTAAAGCCGGCTCTAGTTATAGAACTGTGTGATTTATAAATTCAAAGTTAATGCCTAAGAAACGTGACCATTTAAGATACAATAAATGCCTAATGTTCTTATTATAATGCAGATCCAAGGTGCTGAGGAACATGTGGAAGGTTTTTACATTCGCTTCCGAGATCTCAGTTCTGGTTCACAGACTTACAGTATGGTAACAGTATTAAATGGTGGTGCTTCATCTTATGTATTAACGGATCTACGCAAGTACACAAAGTACGAATTTTTCCTCGTGCCCTTCTACAAAAGCGTCGAAGGACCACCAAGCAATTCTCAGAGTGCCCAAACCTTAGAAGATGGTAAGCAAAAAGTAGATTGTTATAAAAGTACGCTCGAACGTAAAACTTTTAATTTATTTTCCGTCAAATGACCATAAAACTGAATAATGTAAGGGAATATTAAATAAAGATTAAAAAGTAATAGTCTTTTCCTCCATTTCCAAAAAATTAACGTTACTACTTTTATAAAATATTGAAATAAATATTAAAACTGCTTTGTTAGAACGCATTGTTATTTTAATGCTTCATGATGATATATAATATTCATATTTTTATGATTTTCAACAATTCATCGAGGTATGAATAATTTTAAAATTTATTTCAGTGCCTTCTGCGCCGCCAGACAATCTGCACGTAGAAATTCTAGGTTCAACCAGTGCTGCCATCTATTGGTCATCACCGCCACCACAACACATTAATGGTGGATTGAAAGGTTACTTGGTAGGTCCTTATTTTGGGATAATTATCTCATACTTTAGAAAATAATAATGCAATGCAATTTTATATTTTTTAAATTTAATTACCATTTATTTTTTTTATATTTATGTAATAACAATGCGATATTCGGGAAGTATTTTTTAAATAATTTCAATTCAATTTTAAATAATTTCAACTGCAAATAGACAGTATTTTTGAACGGAAAATTTAATCAGTATTTTTATTACTTACGTTTTATTTCATGTTTTCAAGTATATGCAGGTGCGTAGCTAGAGGGCGGCAAGAGGGGCATCTGTCCCCGGGCGCAGAATCCAAGGGGCGCCAAACTGATGTTACGACATTTTAGAATTAAATGTTTTCCATCCTTGGTAAGCAGTAGGGGGCGCGAAATCTTCAGTTGTCCCTGTGTGCTGAAAACCCTAGCTACGACTCTGAGTATATGTATTAAATATGCATCAAACTTTAGTATACGTATGCTTGATGTTTAAATACGGTAGTTTTAAACGTAATTTTTAATACAAAACCTTCACATTTACAGGTAACGTGTAAATTATGGCAATTCTTCCCACTGACTACCGAGGAAATATAAATGTGAATTTTTCTTTAATTTTAGATTTAATGTTTGGTGAAAGAACAAGATACGAATATTAACTTCTTGCTCCGTTAGTGGTCTGAATTTTTTTATAATATATAATATAAAAAATCAATTTTAATTCGGAAATATTTTACAACTCTTTTTCACTAACAAATAAAATTCACAAAAAATTGTGCATACTTCTGAAAATTTTGAACTTTTCACAAAAAAATTTCCTTTGAAATTTAATTTTGGAAATATATTAATGGCATAAATTTCTTATAATACTAGAAAAAATAAAAGGATTCAAAATGATACAATACATTATTTAAGATTATTACAGATAAGAATGCATAGATAAGAGAATGGATTAATTTATGCCAACATCGAAAAAAAAAGGAAAACATGCTTTTAAAAAATTTTACTGGGAGAAAAACGCTGTGTTATGCTCAAGGCCAGTGCTAGGCAATTTGATGCCCGGTGCAATCTTTGCGAGTTCTAAATTCTGTGACACGTCGCCTACCCTTATTCTAAAAATTTTACCATTCCTAAATTATGCTATTCGGAACTTTTCTAAATTAAAAAAAAAAATGTGCCGCCCAGCGCCGACTGCACCAGATATGGCTCTCGCTCTGACTATGTTAAACACATAACATTGGGTATAATTAAATAGGGGCAATTATTTTAATTTACACATATTAATTATAAGAAGAATTCTAAGCTGTTATTACGAGAATAGTATTCTGAAAGTTTTAATGAATACTTTTTTTTAACCCTAGTTTAAGGCGCGTAGATATTAGGTGTCAATCGGGAGCCTATATACGTAACAAGGAAAATTTCAAACCGCCGAAAGACGCAGACAACAAAACATACGAATGTTGTTATTGAAGATACGGATGTTAAATGAAAAAAAAGTTCGTTATATTCAGTAAAACGCTGCATACAATTTAAAGTACAACCTGTAATTAACAGTTTGTCAAACAAATGAAAGAATCATCATTTTAAAAATGATTTTCCTTACTCTAGATACATTTTAATAAGCGGGTGCATATGTTACCAACGTGCCTAATACTGCAAAACAGACGCATGCCCTTAATGCAGGATTAACGGCAGAAGCATATAACGAGACTTCTGACCCATTATTTGCTTTAAAAATTTTTGGGAAATAACAAAATAATACTCGTGAAATGAACATAAAATTTATAAATAAGGAAATTAAATGAGGCCATGCTTATAGTGAATCTGTTTTATTTTGAACTACGGAGTACTACCGTAAATTGCAGAGGAGTAAGTACGTGGTTTTAAAATTACGGATAGATAATTTGAGTAGTAAATACTCTCCAATGCATACAAGTGCATTACCATAAATATTTGATCTAAATACACTCATGTCCATAAATTAAGGATAATTCGGAGTCACGCGGAAATCGAACTCAAAATAAATATATCACATGTAAAATCACTACACACATCTTCAAGAATCATATGTAAATTTCAGGAAGTAACCAGATGACACCGATGGTACGTCACAATGACGAGAGTGTAAGAGGAGGAATACAGGCAAAGAAGTAAAATTGTTCGCAGGCGCTTTATAAGCATTTCAGTGCAATAACCGAATAGTTATGACACAAAGGACGCATTTGGATGATTTTTTACGTGGTAGAATTATCGGCCGTCTGGAATATGGGCGTACCGAACTGGAAATATCAGACGAACTTGGAATTGCCCAGAGTGTCATCTCCAGGCTTTGGTAACGATTCCAAGATGATGGTAATGTGAGTAGACGTTACAGCACAGGTCGCCCCAGAGTTACAACGCAAAATGAGGATCAGTATTTAGCTGTTACTGATAAAAAAAAAAAAAAAAAAAAAAAAAAAAAAAAAAAAAAACCGGCGGAGCACAGCCTCAGACCTGTCTCGTCAGCTCTCTTCAGCCACTCGTACGACAATTTCAAGGCAGACCGTGTACAGACGCTTAAGGCAGATTGGTCTATATGCTCGTAGACCTGTCAGATGCGTTACACTTACTAACTCACTGTCGCCTGCGGTTAGCCTGGAGTAGAGAGCATGCATTGTGGACACCGCAACAGTGGGCTTGTGTGATGTTTTCGGAGGAGTCCAGGTTTAGCTTGCAGTGTGATTCTCGCCGGACTTTCATATGGAGAGCTCCAGGTACCCGTTACCATCAAAAAAACATCATTGAACGACACCGTTACGGTGGTGCAGGAGTGCTCGTTTGGGGTGGAATTATTCTGGGTTCCAGAACTGACCTGCATGTTCAAATTGGAACCATGACAAGCCAAATCTATCGGGACGTCATTCTGGAACAACATGCACGTTTGTTTCGGGGCGCCATGGGCGCATAATTTGTGTTTATGGATGACAACGCCCGTCCTCACCGTGCAAACATCGTAAGCGAATGCCTTCAATCGGAGGATATAACCTGTATGGACTGGCCAGCATTCTCACCGGGACTTGAATCCAGCAGAGCACGTGTGGGACATGCTTGGCCGACGAGTTGCAGCCTGTCAACCTCCTCCTACATGTGTACCGGAACTTCGGAGAGCATTGCTTTTTGAGTGGTGTAATATCCCCTAAGATCAGATCGATAATTTGATACTCAGCATGCCTAGGCGTTGTATGGACTGTATTGTATCGTCTGGGAGACATACAATGTATTAACAATCATACCAACCATGTAATATTGGTTTTTTTATAAAGAGGGTTTTTTTTTTTTTTTTTTTTTGTAATTTGCTTCAGGGAGAAAAAATCGCTAATTTTTTTAATAATATCAAACATATAGCATCTTTTTTTGCTCTTTACCTTTTTTTAATAAATAAGCTTTACAAATAAGTCAAATTTCTTTTGCTCTAACTCTTCCTTTGCCTGATTTTGCATTATCCTTATTTATGGACATGAGTGTATATAATTATTAATAATTATTAACTATAAATACATAACTATATTATTATCATTTCCTTTCCTTTTAATATTAATAATATATTTACTATATAAATTATTAATAATATCTATATAAATACATAACTATATTATTATCATTTCCTTTCCTTTTAATATTTTTTCTTTTGTATTCTTATCATGTATTCATAATTAAAAATTATTTTAAATAATATGTTTAATTAATTCATCATAAATGAGACAATAATTACTAAAAAGAAAAAATAAATATATCTGCCCTTAATAAGAGATAGAGAAGATTATAATAAAATATTAATCAAAGAAAGGAAAATGTTACGTAAGAAGACAGTTATAATACCTCAAGTTTAGCAGTAATTTGTGCCAAATAATGAAACTTATTTCTTATTTTCACTTTTCCTTCCCTAGGTTCAAATCTTTGATAATTCATCTAGTCTCCATTCCAACATTACAACTAACAGCACCACTACAGCCATAACGTTACGAAATCTCACCGCTGGTGTACCTTACAAAGCAAAAGCAGAGGCCTTCACACAAGCTGGTGTCGGACCTGCTACATCATACGTCAATATTCTTATTGGTAACCAAACATCATTTTCAAATATCAATTTCTTTCGCATAAGCCAAAAAATTATGTTATTATAATACAAAAAGGACGTTATTGAAAAAAATTATTATTGTGTCGAATTTTTCTACAGTTATTTCTTCTTTCATCCATTTTTATTTTAAGGTTTCACGAAAATACAGAAATGGTTAGAGTTTGCACAGATTATTTTTGACAATAACATTACTTTTTGAAAAATTAATAAGTAATTTAATATAACAAAATATTCAGAGCTTAGAGTTTAAAACTTGTTTTTATTTGAATCATGGAAAGAAAATTATACGTTTCTGTAGCTACAAAAAAAAGTAAATAAATAAAAAGAAGACATACAGATAGTATTCGACTGCAAATTTTTCCTACCATTTTGATAGGGGGGGGAGGGAAAGTATTTCGAACAAAAATGGCAAATATCGGTATTGGGTGCACGACAAAAGTGTTTCCATTAATTTACTAAAATATTTTACTTTCTATTTCTGGAATTTGTCATTCACTTTTTTATCTTTTCGTATAATGCAAGTTTTAGTTAACATAATCCAAAAAAAGTATATTTATTAAGATAAGTTTGTGTTTTCCTATATTATGTCATTGAGGCCTTTAAAATTATTTACTGAAAAGAGATTTCATAGCTTTTTTTTTTTTTTTTTTTTTTTTTTTGCATACAAATGCAGTAAATCAATTTTTCACATAACAAACTACATGCGATTTTACCGTACTTTACCTTTGAATAGCATTTTCATGTTAGAATGAAGAATTTTCTCGTATAATGTTATGGTTAAACAGCATAAGCTAAGATGATTTATGGAGCATTTTAGTTATGCTTAAGATCGAATATTTTAATGGTAACAGTCTAAAGCAAGCAGCTTTCTTTTGTTTTCATATTTGTACGTGTAATAAAAGGAAATTTAATTTTTTACTTTCCAAGCACTTAATCGATTTGTAATGTACAGAGTATTTATTTTTTCTCGTTGCATGCTTTACATTTCTCGTTGCATGATTATATTTACAGTTACTCTCTTATTTTCGACGTTTGCTTAAAAATTTGTGCATAAAAAGGGATCCTGAATTAAATATCATAAAAATCATAAAATTACTACTGGTTCTGTAATATATTGTTTTCATGTAAAATTGCCATTATCCTGTCAAAAAGCTTTTATTAGTCCCATATTTGAACTTTCCTTTAATGGGCGAATATTTCTTCTGGTTTGTTTTATGCCTGAAGAAAAATAGTTAAAACGAACAGAGAAGAAAGGAAGAAGGTTTAAATACACGCATCTTTTAGTTCTACACAATTATTAACATTTTAAAAACAATTTAGCACTTCATAAAAATCTTTTTCTGGTTTATCACCTATAAAGATTTTTCAGTTAGATCTTCACTAAGATACAGAAGAATATTTTAATCTTTAAAAATTTAAATCAGAAATTTAGTTTTATAAGTACCTCACCTTTAATTTAAATATCACTACAAAGAGCTTGCTTAGTAATTTTGGGGTTTTCCTTGATCTGGTAAAAATTAACAAGTCCATAATTCCTATCAGACATGAAGAGAATTACTACTATGTCTGAAAGCAACTACAAAGTCAGATAAAGATTTGAATAAACTTTTTTTATTAAAATAGAATTTATAACAGAAATGTACGCTCTTGTGCAAACGAAATCACACCACAGCTCGTCGTGAGGTAATAAAAGTAATAGTAAAATTCAGTTTAAAATGTAGGATCAGTAGCCAAGCTCTATACAACTGAAATCTTATTCTAACCTGGCTTAGAAAACTTCCGAAGTATCAAATTCTAATATCGGCAGCAAAAGCTGAATAATTACAAATTACCAGAGCTGGTAGGAACTAATGTAGCGTGCCGGCGCAATCCAGAAACAATCTCTCTTACAATCCCAAAACCTCAGCCTAAATACTAGGTAACCGATTTGCTTTCTGGTAAGGAAACGGAAAGGAGAAGTTATAATAAAGGCTGATATTACAAATAACTGGTTAATTTAAATAATAATGTTATAACTTAAATTATAACTTATCTTTATTCATTTAGGGCTAACCACTCTAAGGATATATGGTTAGAGGAAAAAATGTTCATAAAACATTTCCTGATTAAAAACAAGCTTTATTCACGTTATACAAGAAAGAAGCCACGAAAATCCGATTAAAATGCTTATTCGAGTCCCGACGAAGGCATTGCTGATTTTTCACATCTCATGCTTCGTAATAACCTAATGTCTCTACATGGTCTCGAAGATTCTCATTGAAGTTTTTATAAATACGTACTTTCATCAGATTGGGAGGTTTCGCCAGTATAAGACTCTAAATCAAACATACTCAAATTCATTGACCATCTCAGTCTCGTCTAAAACTAGCAGATTCAACAAACTGCAATGACAGTTCAAGTTTATATTATTTGTAACGTAATTTTTATGAGTATTAAAAACTATTCAGAAATCTTAAAACTTTCCTTTCTCCGTATTTGAGTTAATTCTTAATTTAATTGTAAATACAAATACTCGCCTAAGCCTGATCCCTAATAGCCAGTTATTACATGAATATAACTTTCCAGAAGTAGTAATATTTGCCTCTCAAAAATTAGAAAGTAATAATCCGAACAACGGAAATTCCTAATCATTAGAGAAGTCAGCGCAGTATCTACGCATCGACACTGTTTGTTCACTTTCAGGTCTGCTAATATTATAAACTTTATTTACATAATTCGTGTTTCTTACAGAAACTGAATATGGAAGAAATGAAAAATGACAGAACTGATTTTAAATTAAGCGCTTAACCTTAGAAGATGAGAACCATTAAAAATATGAACTTTATAATGCATTAACCTTTAAAAATGTGAACTTATTGAATTTTTTAAAAAATTATCAATTTTTTTTCTTTTACCAGATCCTCATATGATTGGTGGAATGGATAGCGGACTTTCTAGAAGATCATCTTCACTTCATACAATCGTTCAGCAGCCTTGGTTTATAGCCGTCCTTGGCAGTTTCATATTTCTCTTGCTGTCCGTCTTCCTAGTGGCCGTGTTCTTTCGTAGGCGACTTGCCTGGAAGAAAGCTCTTGGAGTCCAAATTAATGGTAAAGCTCTTTTCATAATTAGCAAGTGTCTTTTTTTTAACATAATAATACACCTTTGAGGGAAAAATAGCAAGTAAATAATAAATATAAATAGTAATAAGTATTATTGTGTCTTGCCCAGAGCCGTGCCAAGATATTTTTTCACCTGAGGCAAAAAGGTAAATGCGCGCCCCTATATATATATATATATATTTATTTTCCTAAACCGTATTGATTAATTGATTATATTATCTCCTAAGTTTAATTAAAGTAGAATTATTTTAAAAGTGTGCATCCATACTGGTAAGTTATATTTTGAAAGATGTTTTGAAGTAATTTGAAAGCAAAAATGTTAATAATGTTTTAACGGGGACTGGAGTTAAATCATCACGAAGAATAATATTACAATTGTAAAAGTAAAAATTAAAACATGTAATTATTGTCATTGATCGGAAATTAGTTGACTGACTTTTCAAGGGGAACAAACCAACTCCCGTTCAATGATCAATAATTGATAGAAATACGTAAATATGAAAGTGTTTCGTCTTTACTCGAGTTATAAATTAAAGCCAAACCGGCAATTCTAGTCAGGCCAAATATTTCCGCGAATAGTTGTTACTCAAAGAACTGATCTCATGAAGCATTTTAGTCAATTCAATTTGGAGTAAAAATCAATTACTGTAGAGAAATCTTGTAAAACTCGAGTAATCGTCCCCCGACACTATCATCTTTATGTATTTGAGTACTATATTATTTGTAGAAATTAAACATTGGAAATTGTCATTATGAAATCGAAATCAAAGTAAAGTTGAAATAAACATAGAAGATTATAAAAAAGATAAATAATGCAAACTTTGCAAAAACAAATCAAAGAGAACATAAAAATAATATAAAATAATATAAAAATAAAATAGAAAATAATATAAATAAGATCAGTGAATGTACATGAAGATATAAAGGCCAGAAAGGTATTAAGTAACTTACATTCTTTCTAGTGGGGGAGTTGGCAGTGTGTTCTCTTCGTGTCTGACTCAGAACTGTAGGGTGTCCGAAAATTCTTAGCGGCAGTAGGGGCTTTGAATTATATCAGTCGGCAAGACTTGGGTGAAGAAATTTATGGTAGTGGGTGGGACTTGGAATTCTTGAGGGATGTATTTTGTGGAGTTCTTATCTGAGAGAGACCGTCTGTTAAGATTTTTTTAAAAATAATACTAGTGAATGGAAATTAATTAATTTCTGGCTAATTGTCGTGTCGCAATGATTAAGAATTTAAGAAAGGAAAAAGGCATTTTCGCTATCCAAGAGCTAGTAGACAGTCTAAAGGCAGGAAATAGGCCCATTTTTTTAGTAACAGTATAGTAACAGTATATGTCTGAAGACAATTAGCTTTTTACAATATATACAATTGAGTAATTACACTATATACAAATCTTTCAACTGACAGTCATCCAACTTATACCGCCTTCTCTCAGGTTTAGGAATAAATTATCATATCCCTATCAGTTAAATGATTTAGAGTGAGTATTTAACGCCTGCTCTTTTAAGGCAATGGTTGATAAATTGAAAGGGAATTAGATTATTTTTGAGAATTTTGATAAGGATCAAAATTTCGCGTTGTAAATCTATTGTATCTGTGCATATAGTTTTAATTCGTTGTATTTGATTAATTATAGTATTGTTAATTACTTTTTTGGATATGTTGGAGTTCCAATTTATTAATTTGTTAGTATTGAAATTGAAGTTTCTTGTTTTGCCAAAAAGTAAAATTTTTTTGTAGTTAATGATTTGAAGATCTAGAAAGTCTATGCTATTTTGTGAATTATTAGTTTTATTAAGTTTAAGACAATTCGGATAAATGTCGGAGTTTTCAATTTTACCAAAATTATTAATTGTAATAAGGTCATCAATAAATCTGTAGGTGTGTTTGTAGTAATTTAACTCTTGTGGTTGTAGATTTTTTTGGAAGTTAAATTCTTTGAAAAATAAAAAGATATTACAGATCGAGGTGCTGGAATGTAAGCCCATTGGCAATCCTCTGACTTGTTTAAAAAGTTGATTTTGAAACTTGATGTAGTTATGAAAAAGTGTGCATTTTAGGTAGGTTTTCCATTTGTCAAGAGTCATGATATTGAGTATATTAGGGAAAAGTTTTGGTAGATCAAGTAGACTGGTATAGATTTCTTCTAGAGGAAGTGAGGTATATAAGTTTTTCAAAATCATAGCAGTTAATGTTTTGGATGTTAATGGTATGAATGGTATTAATGACAGGAGTGTTATTATGAATGATCCAGCAATAGTTATGATTAGTGTTACAATCATTGAAAATAAATTTACAGATTTTATTAAGTTGAATTGAAAAATAATAGTCTATATTTTTCTTGTAATTATTAGTTCCATTAGCTATAAATTTAAATTTTAATGGTGTTTTATGGAATTTGGGAATCGCATCAAATTAAAATACACTGAACTGGTCGCAACTTACTTTGTTCTTAGAAAAATCAGTCACCTCAAATTTAAAAGTACACTGAACTGGTCGCAACTTACATCTGATATTAGTAAATTAAAACAGCTTTTTACTATTACAAAAATAGATAAAGCAACTAATAACTTTAGCATTATATGAAAACAATTCTACACTGAGATTATTCATAAAGAACTTCTCAACGCAACTACTTATCAATCAGCCAACCTTACAGAAACATCTATAATAAACAGGATTAAAACTTTTCATAAGAAACTCAATATTACTTTCAATGCAAACTACAACAGATTTACTAATCTTTATGCGATTCCCAAATTCCATAAAACACCATTAAAATTTAGATTTATAGCTAATGGAACTAATAATTACAAGAAAAATATAGACTATTATTTTTCAATTCAACTTAATAAAATCTGTAAATTTATTTTCAATGATTGTAACACTAATCATAACTATTGCTGGATCATTCATAATAACACTCCTGTCATTAATACCATTCATACCATTAACATCCAAAACATTAACTGCTATGATTTTGAAAACTTATATACCTCACTTCCTCTAGAAGAAATCTATACCAGTCTACTTGATCTACCAAAACTTTTCCCTAATATACTCAATATCATGACTCTTGACAAATGGAAAACCTACCTAAAATGCACACTTTTTCATAACTACATCAAGTTTCAAAATCAACTTTTTAAACAAGTCAGAGGATTGCCAATGGGCTTACATTCCAGCACCTCGATCTGTAATATCTTTTTATTTGTCAAAGAATTTAACTTCCAAAAAAATCTACAACCACAAGAGTTAAATTACTACAAACACACCTACAGATTTATTGATGACCTTATTACAATTAATAATTTTGGTAAAATTGAAAACTCCGACATTTATCCGAATTGTCTTAAACTTAATAAAACTAATAATTCACAAAATAGCATAGACTTTCTAGATCTTCAAATCATTAACTACAAAAAAATTTTACTTTTTGACAAAACAAGAAACTTCAATTTCAATACTAACAAATTAATAAATTGGAACTCCAACATATCCAAAAAAGTAATTAACAATACTATAATTAATCAAATACAACGAATTAAAACTATATGCACAGATACAATAGATTTACAACGCGAAATTTTGATCCTTATCAAAATTCTCAAAAATAATCTAATTCCCTTTCAATTTATCAACCATTGCCTTAAAAGAGCAGGCGTTAAATACTCACTCTAAATCATTTAACTGATAGGGATATGATAATTTATTCCTAAACCTGAGAAGGCGGTATAAGTTGGATGACTGTCAGTTGAAAGATTTGTATATAGTGTAATTACTCAATTGTATATATTGTAAAAAGCTAATTGTCTTCAGACATATACTGTTACTATACTGTTACTAAAAAAATGGGCCTATTTCCTGCCTTTAGACTGTCTACTAGCTCTTGGATAGCGAAAATGCCTTTTTCCTTTCTTAAATTCTTAATCATTGCGACACGACAATTAGCCAGAAATTAATTAATTTCCATTCACTAGTATTTTTAAAAAAATCTTAACAGACGGTCTCTCTCAGATAAGAACTCCACAAAATACATCCCTCAAGAATTCCAAGTCCCACCCACTACCATAAATTTCTTCACCCAAGTCTTACCGACTGATATAATTCAAAGCCCCTACTGCCGCTAAGAATTTTCGGACACCCTACACTTCTGAGTCAGACACGAAGAGAACACACTGCCAACTCCCCCACTAGAAAGAATGTAAGTTACTTAATACCTTTCTGGCCTTTATATCTTCATGTACATTCACTGATCTTATTTATATTATTTTCTATTTTATTTTTATATTATTTTTATTTATTTTTATGTTCTCTTTGATTTGTTTTTGCAAAGTTTGCATTATTTATCTTTTTTATAATCTTCTATGTTTATTTCAACTTTACTTTGATTTCGATTTCATAATGACAATTTCCAATGTTTAATTTCTACAAATAATATAGTACTCAAATACATAAAGATGATAGTGTCGGGGACGATTACTCGAGTTTTACAAGATTTCTCTACAGTAATTGATTTTTACTCCAAATTGAATTGACTAAAATGCTTCATGAGAATCAGTTCTTTGAGTAACAACTATTCGCGGAAATATTTGGCCTGACTAGAATTGCCGGTTTGGCTTTAATTTATAACTCGAGTAAAGACGAAACACTTTCATATTTACGTATTTTTATCAATTATTGATCATTGAACGGGAGTTGGTTTGTTCCCCTTGAAAAGTCAACTAATTTCCGATCAATGACAATAATTACATGTTTTAATTTTTACTTTTACAATTGTAATATTATTCTTCGTGATGATTTAACTCCAGTCCCCGTTAAAACATTATTAACATTTTGCTTTCAAATTACTTCAAAACATCTTTCAAAATATAACTTACCAGTATGGATGCACACTTTTAAAATAATTCTACTTTAATTAAACTTAGGAGATAATATAATCAATTAATCAATACGGTTTAGGAAATAAATTATTATTAACTAACTTTGCAGCAATTGCGCAAGTAATAATAACTTGTATTCGCACTAAATGGATTTAAGTTCATACAACATTATATATATATATATATATATAAAAATATTTTCTTAAAATAATTAGAAAAAAATACATTTTAATATTTTTTTTTTAAAGAAAATAAGTTTTATAATTAAATGAAAATGTTTCCTTTTTTTAAAAAATAACATCGAAATGCACATTGCATTAATTTCCAGGTTTTCTTGAAATTCTTCCTGTTGTTTTAATAATTTCAGTTTACCGAAGCTTATAATCCTATAATAATAGCTGACAATTTTAAAAACATAATTAAGTAATTTTCGAATTCGCATAGCCAATTTGGCGCTCCTTCTAATGATTCACCTAAGGGGTGTCTTCCTTTTTCCGCATTCCTGTTTCCGCGGTTTTATAAAAACACTTCTCTTTCCGCGAAATCATCAATCTTCATTAAACCCCCTCACAAAGGGGTTACATAGTAGGCGCCGAGTGGGGCTTGGTCTCTACCGAAACGTAGGAAGGCAAAAAATTTTTAGATTTAAAAAGGAGAATTTTTAAAAGAAATGATTGAAAAATATTTACGATCTCAGATCTTTGCATGAATGAAGCTGATACTGTATTTAAAAGGAGAGAAATTGATGTTCAAAATCCGCAATGGTTTTGGCAATGAACTAAATGATTGTTTTCTAAAGTAAAAAACAATATTCTTTCAAAATTCTGCATAAAGGTGAGTTATAATAAAATCTTTCAGAGTCAATATTCGTTATAAACCGACATTCTTTCTTCTAAAACGACGACTTCTTTGGTCTTGATTGCGCTTTTCCAGCTTTTAATTCTTTCAATTATGCAAATCCAATTAACTAAATTTTCCTTATTTTTATTCCGAATTCGATACTGATAACCTTTATGAACGGTTAAAGATTTTTTTTTTCCTTTTAGTTTCAACAATGTCTAAAACATCCATATTGATTAAAATAAGATGTGGAAATAACAGCTAATACTGTAGCAGAATTACAAGTAGAATGAAGCTAAAGATTTCGAGAGGAGCCTTAACTCAGACACGTTTTCAGTGTAACGAAGACTAACGTATTCACAAAGAAACTACCCAGATTTTCTTACGACCCATCTTGATATCTCTTGATGAGCTGTGGGAGGAGGACTGTACTGTTGGATTTCGCGGGAACAGGAATAATTTTGAAAAACGCGGAAAAAGGAATCGCGGAAACAGAACTAATTCACCTTGTCCCGGCTCTGGTCTTTCCAGTTCTTATATATATGAGCTAATCGCATGTAGATGAGAGGTGAGATGCTGAAAATTTATTTTAATGATTAAAATATGTGCTCTTTCTTTTTCAGTTCCCATTCATAAAACGGATGGTATCAGGTATGTATGAAATTTTGTAATCTGAAAGGTTAAATTTTAGATAAGAAAATGTGTATATTGCTCGCATTTTTCATTTTTTCATCCTTTCCACACACCATTTTATCCTAGATTAAAAATGTTTACATTTGGGAGTCTCTTTTGAGGCGTCTTGTTTTAAGATGTTGGAATGGGACAAAAAAATTTTTATGTCAAACACGCTATTTTTTCATTTATAATATGATTTATGTATAAAGGAATAATTTATATTTAAAATAATTTATACTTTGTAACAGTGGCGGCTCGTGGCTAAAATTAGTGGGGGTGCTGTTCCAAAATAATTTAACCTTTGTTTTAAAATTGTCTAAAAGGAAACAAACATGTATAAAGCGAAAATTTATTTTGAAACTTCATGAAATCTTACAAGAAAAAAAAAAAAATTAAACATTTCTTAATGACTTTAACCAAAATTGTTACAGCTCAATCTTTGTCTAATCATTTAAAAATGAAATATATTCTTCTTGTTTTAATTTGAACGAAAAAATCAATAATTTTCTCTTTGATCTCTGGATGACAACTGAGGAAATTTTTGTTTATTGAAAGCAATGCAAGCGCGTTTAGTCTTTTCGAATTCCTAGTGCTTCTTAGAAAAGTTTTCATTCTTTGAAAATCAGCGTTCTGCCTCTGATGGGAACTCTCAAGAGAATTTTTATCAGTTTCGTAATTTCACTAAGAACATCATCTAGATTATTTTCGAAGATAAAGTTCAGTAGCTAAATTAATTTGCAGTATTCATGGATATCAGACCTACAATAGAATACTTTTAGTTCAGTTTCAAGCTTTTCTTTGTCAATCATTGGATATGCTTCAGTGATCAGTACTATTTCTTCTGTAGAATATTCATTCCTAAAACTAGCGAAGCATTTCATGTTTAACAATTTAGCACCTGCTAAGTGTTTAGTGGAAGAATATCTGTCATTATTTCAATACATAGTATAAAGTCACATATTTCCTTAGCTTCTGCCATCAGTGTCTGAAACATTCTCGCAGTACTTTGAGTTTCTTTATTCTAAAATAGCAGTTTTGAAATTTGTTACATATTCGTTAACTTTAAACACACTAATTTATCTGGATTGCATTTAGTTGAATATTATTTCAACATGAAGCATCTGATAAAAAAGCTCTAACCAAAACTTGAAATTATCATCATTTAGATATTTTAAAATCCTGTTGCTTTTGCAATAGGAACAGTTGTTTCGTTTCTTGTTGTTGTTCTGCATTTGATATTAATTGAATTTCAGTAAAGCAATTTTTTAAAGGTTTGCAAATTTTTATGTACTCTGTTTATGGTCCGTATGATGAAGTTTCACCTTATGGAGGAATACCACACGCGCGGAGTAAAAAGAAATCACGTTTCCAACAACATGCCAGAATTTCGGCACTACAAGAGCGACAGTGCTTCTCTCTCTGTCCGGCTCGCGTGCTGCTTTTTGTGTGCGCATGCGCAGAACAGCCAAACACCACGTCGCTGGAACTGTGAAGCGCGCAGTTCCGAACAAAGACTCGTACTTTTTTTACAAAGTGGGGGATGGCTACTGACATTAAACTTAATGATTATGTATTGTAAAAGTATAAAGAAAGAATTAAAGAGTAAAGGGCACACTACATTTAAATATCAAATATAATAATAAGTAGGAATAGGGGGTGTTGCAGTTCCACAGTGCTTATTACGAGCCGCCACTGCTTTGTAAATACATATTTTTCTTTTCACTTGAAACTTTTAAATGCATATACTTTATATGCATTTAAACATTGTAATGCCTTTAAACATTGCATTTAAACATACGCATTTAAACATTGTAATGCATATAAAGTACTATATGGATTACTGCAAGCAAAATAGTATTTTTGTACGTATAATTAAAATAGAAAATATGGCCCCTTACTAAGCTACTTTTATTAAGGAACGCGATATAGTTTTATAATGGGTAAAACTCTAAAATAGGAAATTAATTTAATGAATATCAATAAACGCGGAACAATTCTACTAATTAAGGATATTTTTCTAGTTCAACTTATTACGGTTCTCGTTAAAAATCTTTATGTTTTTATTTCTCTTCTGTTCTAAAAGAAATCCAGTGTAAGGTTTCAATGCTAAAAATTTCCAATTAATGTAAGTATACAATTTCAATAGATGCTTTTGTTTTACTTCAGAGGCGTGAACTCTTGCGAAACGTTGTGGATCAATCAAACTCTCAACTCCTCGCACGCAAGCAAAGCAAACAGCTTGAGTGAATCGAAGTTGCTAGAAAAACCAGATTCTTCAATGGAGCATAACTATTACAGGTAATCAGTGCTGGACTTATCTGTATGTATCAATAGGAATGCGCATCTTCGCCCACGTACTGTTGCTAGCGCGCGTTTTATCAACGAGCTTTGCTTCGTCGATGTTTCTTTCTTAATGACAGGATTTCGAATTTTAACTAAGTACTCATTTTATTAAAAATAATTTCATGCGTAGATTTTTCCACAATATATATATATATTATAACAATAAATCACTTTTAATCATAAAGTAAGCTAATAAAATACATTAAGCTAATGGAAGTTAAGATTAAATGCCTTTAAAAATTGGATAACCGAAATCCGTAGCAGAATTCCGTGCGAAATTACTTAAGATGTTAAATGGCGATGTTCTCAAAATATCTAAAGACATACTCGTATTTCTCGTTGCATCGAAAATTAAACAGGATATCTTCAGGATGTTAAATTACTAAATTAGCTCCTTAATTAGGTAATTAGTTCCTTAGAGCATCTGAGAATCAGCTTCTTCTGAATATCCTCAGAACATTCCGCGACATTGCTACTGAACTAGGATACACTAGGGAAGTAGTGTAAGTTTATATCGAAACTGCTAAGCACAAAATTGTCAAAGTGAAATCAAGTCTTAAAATCTGAAACAATAGGTATAGATATCATAAGTATACAATAGCTCATTGGTCTCAAACAGGCGGCATCCAAAAAATTTTATTTTAGCTATGTATTTGTTTTAATAAAGTGCTTATAGATTTTGGTATAGGATAAGTTAATAGACAAGGGATCGTAAAACAATGTTTATTAAAAAAAAATCGGAAAGCACTAGCAAACATTTCAACAGTCATTACATTCCAATTGAGTTTCGAAGCTAGCGCTGGCGCACAGAGACAAGTACATGCGTAAAACAGGTATATAACAACGTTATGAGAGGCCCGAAGAAAACGTTAAGGAGTAAATATGAACATAAAACATTTTATGTCAGGAAATGGCAAATTAAAATCTAAAACTAAACAACATTAGAGACATATCGTTTGTGTTTATATGCGCGATTGCTATTGAATGAAAAAGAAATAGAAGGAATCGTTTTAGAATGTCTGTTAAACGAAAAAATTGTAGACTTTATATGCTTGCATACCAGGCCACATCGCTGGGCTAATGTGGGACGCCAATACAATCAAACAATCAAAAAATTTATTCGCCAGCCGACATTTATGTTCTGTTGTGTGCGTTTCTTTTTCTTTTCTTTTCTTTTTTTTTTTTTTTTTTTTTTTTATTATGAGTTGGTACTTTTACTCTTCTTGAGTCAGTCACTAGTTGGTAAGAAATTATCAAGTACGACTTCTACAACCGTACTCTGTGCTTGTCGGTAGATCTAGGTTACATCAATAAACAGTCATTTGAAACTGTGCAAAACATTTGAGTGTAGTTTTCGTGTGAAAATTCCTTTTGTCGAATTCAAGCTGTAAGTTTACGACAGTGTTGGCACACAGATACATTACATACAGCCTGATATTTTCGTACAAGGTGTTACTGATGAATATGAAATGCTTGAGGAATTACTAGAAATAATACTTTTAAAAAAAGAGGAAAAACAGTTGCACAAAGTATTTTTTTTGAAATAAAATTTTGCAATAGGTAAAATAAATTAAGTTTGGATAAAATGGTTGGATTTTCAAGCGATGGTGCAGCTGCTATGGTTGGTAAAAAACTGAGGAGCGGTAAAATAGAGAAATACAGTGAAAGAAGAAAAATTTTTAGAACACTCTTGGCACCATACATTCCTCCATTCATCAAGAAGCACCCTGTGCCAGAAGCGCTGTAGACTTCACGTTATCATGATAACGTGCAGCACTTATCAAGGGTCTTCCTTCACTTCTGTATGTATTGTCAAACTTGGAATAGCAACAACAACCTTAAGATAATACATTCTTTCGCGTATGATTATCAGAGTTTTAGAAATTTTCCATTACTCTATCATGATAAGTGGATGATGCTTTTAAGATTCTCCTTATGCATATATGTAATATCGAGGTTCAGAATAACAACATTAGGACACTATAACTCTTTCCCACTATCCTATCATGATTATTTTTACACATATGACGCCGGAAAGACTGGCTTCACAAACAAGACATGACAAGAATGTATTACGATAAGTGTTGATGAAATCATTTCGTTAATGTATGTTTTAGATAATTTTTGCTATTTAAGAATGCTACGTATTTCTATATCATTCAGAATTGTCGTTAGATTCAGAAGCGAATATGAGGAATATATGTGATACAGAGTTAAATGTGGAATTATACGAAGAATTTTATTCACGAAATGAAGCTGATATTTTGCTAGATGAACTATCAAATTATGATTTTAAAAATATTAGTTTTGAAATTAATGGGACTCAGTATGTTCCACGAAGAAAAGTACTCGGTTTTGGTGATGAAGGACTTAGTTACGAATTCTCTGGAACGAGCATTTGTGCAGAAACCATGGACTCAAACTCTTCTAAATGTAAAAGATTATGTTGAAACGATAACTGGCAAAAAATATAATTTTGCTTTATTGAACTATTATCCTGACGGAGTGGCGAAAATTTCAACGCATAAAGACAATGAAACTTGTCTCGAACCTGAAAGTGATATACCTATCATCAGTTTAGGTGCAAAACGTCAAATGGTATTTACCAGGCGAAATTTCACATCTCGAAGCGTGGACTTAACTCATGGAACTCTCCTTGTAATGAAACCCCCAACGAATCAATTTTGGATGCACGGAATACCCTCTCAACCTGACGTTAAAGATCCTAGAATTAGTATCACATTCCGAAACATAAAAATTTCGAAAATTAAAAAACGACGCTTGGAAGATAATGAGGATGATGAACTTCCAGAGGATGACTGGTTTGCCCACTATATGAAGTCTGTTCCTGAAAATATCTTCATGCCGAATAATCGAGAACAGAAAAAAGAAAGTTCGAAGTTGATTGCACAGTGGACTCTTGGTTGGGGATATTTTGTGTCCATAAATCAGTTTGAAAACAGAATGAACATTCATCTACGTGAATGTGTGGAACAAAAAAATAAATATTATACCCTACTACACGCGGTGTTGTTATAACTCCTGCAACATGGCAAGAATTTTCCTCAAAAATATATGAATTTAATCTTGTCTATACGACTGCCAGCATCATTTGCAATAATGAGTTGGTAGTTTTCAACAAAGAAGGTGAGTGTATTTTTCAACAAGTTTTTAAACAAGATGAAAATTCTTTTAAACTAAAACCTACATACCTAAAAGTAAACTGTGATATTTTAAAAAAAATTGAAAGAAATTATTCCTGATGTGTATCTAATACTTTATATAAAAGTATTTTTGAAATTATTTTACCGTTGCAAATCAAATGTAAAAAACAATTGTTCGGATATGGTAAGTGATGATGATGAACTTTTTAAAGAACTCATAAACTCTATCAAAACTGAATTAAATTCAGTGATTAAAAAACTATTTAAATGCGAAGGTTGTATTGTAAATCATCCTTCACAAACAAGACATGATTGCATTATAATAAGTGTTGAGGATAGAATTAAATATATTGGGGAAGATATATTTTTATGTATTAATTTTAAAAATATAAGAGATTCTTTAAGGCAGAAAAAAATGTTTCATTTATTTTGTAATAGGTTTTTTGAATCGAAATGTTATGAAGATTATAAAAAAATGCACTAATATAAGTACAGCTATTCTATTTAAATTTCTGTCTTTGGTTGATGTTATGAGTATTTTTTTTCTCCTTATGTTTTTTTTTAATAGAAATATATTGAAATTTTAGTTTTAATTTTAAAGCAAACATGTATATCAAATATCAGTAAATGGATATTGTTGTTAATTTGATATTAACTAATGAAAGAAAATTCTAAGTATATTTTATGTATAATACAGAAACTTGTTCTTTGGAAATAAATAAATGTATTTAAATAGAAAAGCTTCTTGGTGAAATGAATGTATTTTTTATTTTTTATAACAATTTTTTTAAGTATTGTATGTTTACAGTGCAGTATATGCTTCAAGTGATTCACTCGTGTTGAAAATTTAAGAGTTTATGAAGCGATTATTCGCTGAACTTATGTGATATATTTGTAAGGTTTCTTGAATACGAGTAATCTGAAGAGATATTTGAAATCTCATGAAAGAAACATCAGATGTAGTGTATGTCCTAAGAAATTTAAGTTTGTAGTTTGAAAAGTCGCGAAGCTTCTCGTCTTAGAATTTTGTAGTGAATAATCACAAGTTCTTTTCATGTAAAAAGGATATGAAAACTTATAAAGTTACTTTTAAGAGTAAATCGTGATAAAAAAATATTTAGTGAGCATAAGAATTTAAAACAATATGAATCTTTACATCGTATTGAATGTTCGGACATTTTTTCAAGTAAAACAGAATTTGAAGAAAATCTCACGAACCTTTTTTTTTTTTTTTTTAATTTTGCCGGTGTTAAAAGAAACAGAAATATGCTGATGATGATGTTTTGAAACAGCATGATACTTCTCTTCTTATAAATTGCATCCATTGTTTACAAGTGTTTAAAAGAAAAAGTGATCTCTTACACCACATTCGAATGCGACATGATTTGATGTGAATCTTATAAAAACGAAGAAACGTTGACATCGTTAATACATGCAAGTCTTCTAAAATCGCAAGTCTTAATAGTATGTTCGCAATTGAATCGATTTGCTAGAACATAGAAAATGATCATGTCTTAGATGTACTTCTTGAATATAAAATTGTAGTTAGTAGGGAAAAAAAATGAGTTATGATGTAGTTTTACACTGAGTTATGATATCGGTGTTTGAAATGGTAATCAATAGTTACATTTAAAATGTGTCGTGAGTGTGAAAATGCAGAAATAAAAGAGCTTTGGCGAATTTAATAAACGCGGTTCAATGTGGTTGATGGAAAAATTTGTTCCATGTGAATTAAATAGTGTAAGATATGAACCTCTTTCTCTCAATAGTTAATTATTCAATTGTAAGACA